TTATTTATTTTATTCTTATTAGTTCGTTACTATAGCCCTTAAACTTCAATTGGACAATCCAATTCAAAATTCTTTGATAATTCCTATTCAAAATCGATACTTGTTAAGTGCATTATAAATTCCTCTTTTAATTAAAGTTAAAGGTTTAGTAATACGTGCAAAATCTTTAATAAATTTTCGGTAGTAACCGACAAGGCCTTTTAATTTCTTTGGGTGTTTTAGGTATCGGGAATTTTTTTATCGCATCAATTTTGTCTGGATTTGGTTTGACACAATCACGTGTAATAACGTGTCCTTTTTTGCGAATTTGTCAAGTTGGACCTTAAAATTTGCTTGACGTAGTCGAAGAAATATGTTTCTCAATCTGCTAATGTGTTCACGAAGGGATGTGCTAAAGACGATAATACCGTCAAGATAAACTAGACATTCTTCATTTTGAAGACCTCTAAGAATGTTGTCCATTACTCGTTGGAATGTGGAAGGTGCATTTTTTAAACCAAAAGGCATACGTTATATTCGTTATGACTATTCTCAGTTGAAAAAGCGGTTTTTTGGATATCCTCAGGATGTATTTCAATTTGGTGGAATCCGTTGGCCAAATCTATAGTGTGGAATTATGTTGAACTTGATTGGTGAATGTTATTTTATCGCAATAAAAGATATCTCTAAATTCTAAACATAAATCTCTTATAGCTTTATTTTCTTCGGAATTGCAATGTTGTAATCTGAGATGTTTAAGATTAGCTTTCAGTAGATTATCTTTGGAAGGGTCAGCTTCAATAACGTCGTCAACTTCCATTTTTTCTATGAAATTAATTTCATTAATATTCAATAATTCTGAATTAAAAGATGCAGCTATTTTGATAGTTATAGGTTCTGATCTAGCATTAATAATGGTTGTTGTTGCAAAATAATTTTCGATATTAGTAATAGCTTCATGTGATTCTATTTGTTCATCAAATTTATAATAGTTTAGAATGCAATGACTTTTTTCGTGTTTGACTGGTTTAACTACTTTTTGTGTTCTAGCAGGAATGGTTATACAATTGAAGTTACTTATTCTTTTATTTTTATTAATTTTTTCCAATTCAAATATAATTGGTATTTTTACAATTAATAATTTCTTGTTAACATCCATTACAGCTTGTGATTGGGCCAACAAATCAATGCTAATCACTCCGTCATACTTTTTACTAAAATCAAAAACAAAGAATTTATGTAGATTCTTGTCTTTAAAAATATCAAAACTTGGTATTAATACTGCTTGTTCATGATAAGAAATATTGTGAGGTGTTTGGATTTGAAATTCTTCTTGAAAAATATAATTTCTCTAAAATTTGTTAACCATTTTCGAAGATAGCAAACTTTTAGTGCTCCCTGTATCTATAAAGATATTTGTATTTATTTCAGGGATGTAGGTAGGTACTGATAAGGCAAATTTGCTGCGGTCACGTTCAAGTTAATTAAGTTACTTTGTTGTAGGGCGTGATTATTTGAAAATGTAATTCGTCACCTTCTTCATGAGGATAAGTGTCGAGATTTCAGACGGCTGTTGTAAGTTATTATTTACATTGTTGCATTCTGCGTACGGGTTAAAAAAATTATTATATGGCATTTCTTCATAAGAAAGATACCTATAAAATTGTGGAGGGGGTCTATTCGCAAAATAGAGAAACAAACTATTGTGGTTTACTAAATTATATTTTATTATACATAAATTGAAATTTTAAATAAGCAAATATCTTTCTATTCCGACAGCCACTTCTATTTTTCCCAATTCAAATTATTTCACATCCGTTCAAATGTCATTATTACGGACCAGGAAATATCCATACAAAAAAAAAACGCCCTACTTCTACTATTCTTAATAACTTATAAGTTTATACATTACAACACTTCCGATTCACATTCCTATTAAAACTACCTTTTACCTATCTCTATAAATTCTTAAAATTCCTAAGTCCTTTACTGACTGCTTATGCAAAATAATTATTCAAGTCATAATCCGACTCACTGGATTAGGTATATATGCATTACCAACTATATTTTTATAAATCTTACAACAATTTCAAAATGATTAAAAACCATAATTCAAAATTTCAGCACTTAAGTTCATCAATGTTACAACATGGACAACAATTTTTAAACAAAACTTTTTATCAATTTAATCAGAACAATTACTATTTTCGAATTCCTAGTCAACATACACAATTATTTAAATTCCTATTAGTTAGTTACTATAGCCCTTAAACTTCAGTTGGACAATCCACTTCAAAATCTTTAATAATTCCTACTCAAAATCGATACTTGTTAAGTGCATGATAAATATCCCCTTAAAACTCTTTGCAAAATTAATTAAAATGTCATTTTACTCGAAGGCAATTAAATTTATGCAATAATGTTCCATAGTCAAAACACTCAATTTATTAATATTTATGCAATAAAGTTCCAAAGTTAATTCACTTCATAGTCATTCATCATTTATAAAGTCAAAAAGTTTTACTAGTCACAAGAGTACTTACATTTAACTTTTGACACGTAAAATTACTCAATTTAATTTACTTCAAAAATCTCTCTAGAGCACGCACATAATGTTGAACGACTTTAACTGTTCTTTCTTTCACAATTTTCTGTACTTTTACAAAGATTCGATTAGACGCGTTTTCCCCCGAGGCAAAAATAAAAGAAACTCTTCGCGAATTTTTATCCGGACTGACTCATTAGGTACTGTAGACTTTAACTCAAACTGGACTGAACTTAAACTCAACTCAACTGATAACTGAAACCGTTGTATTTATATTATTCGATCCCCCCAAAATTTCTTTGTCCATCAATCATTAAGAGGATGATGCAATCTCTTCGAAATTGTTGTCATTTTTATTTGTTTAAAATCGAATAATTATGTCGCAATTTCCTGGTTTATCGGGGTCAACAGATTTGGTTGTAAGAATAGGGAACAATCATATTTTTCAAATTATTTTTTTTCTTATTGCTTATGTTTTCAAATATAAAATACATATGTTTTCTTTTGTATTATGTCCTCATTAAAATAAAAAAAAAATATATAAAATTTCGAATTATTTCCGTTGGCACGAAAACGATTACCTTCAAGATGTCGGTACTTGTGATGTTAACTGTTTGTAAATACATGGTAGATACAACATTAAGGCCTGTTCTCACATGACTCTCTGACATTTTGCAAATTGTCAGAAAGAATCGCTCGTACCTTCGATTGCATTGAGGGCGGCTTCTCATGAGCGCAATTTGACAGCGTACCTGAATACAGAATTCTGATTGGCCAAAATCCCGCCATATTGGATACGCTGACATTCTGCCGCAGATACGCCAAAAGTTGAGCAAAGTTCAACTTTTCGCGTAGAAATTCAGCGTTTTTAGAGGTTAAGATGGCAACCGTTTCGTTTTCTTGATTTTTGTAATAATTTACTGTCCATATTTGTAACTATTTGGAAATAAAGCAAAAACAAATACAAATTACAATCAAAATTCAAAGAAATATTTCAAAATTTAGAAAAAGAATATAATTTGACATACGTGGGCGGTGTAAATTTTCCACTTCATGTGAATGTTGCGTCAAAATTCACGTATTCAGCATTTGCGCCAGTTATGTCAAGTTTACGCTCATGAGAAGCCGGCCTGAATGTGGTTTTTACGTGGTGTTTCTGTATTTGACGTATTGTGACATTTTGTGTTTCAATTAGTTTGTCATGATTGATACAGGATTTACAGAAGCGCAGTTTGACAATCTTTCCTCTATAGACCCATTTATGGTAGTTCAATGGGTGGTATGAATAAAAACGAAGTACATGCTACTACTACAAGTATTAGTATGTTCTACGTAGTATTTACTTCAAAACGAAGTAGATACTACATTTCGGTAGTTTCGAAATGTAGTATCTACTTCGTTTTGAAGTAAATACTACGTAGAACATACTAATACTTTTAGCAGTAGCAAGTACTTCGTTTTTATTCATACCACCCAATATCAGTCGTGGCGTGACGTTCGTTATTCACGGTCAGTGTAAACTACCCTTAACCTTGGTTTATGAACAGTTAATGTCACCGAAAGTAGCCATGTTGAACGTAGCTTTTTTGCGCGAAACTTTTCAATTTGAAATAAACAATTGCCGTATGAGAATAATATCGATAAATTAAATGCAAACATATTTTACAGCAAAATGTGCACCATAAAAACAAAATGAACCACATTTATTTCTCATGAGAATTCCCTATTGGACATATAACACAAAGGAAGCCGAAACACATGGGGGCCATAAATCACCTATTCAATTACTTTGGCCTCGCTTTTAATAAGTTCATTGATTTGATTTAGGAGATGACATCACGCTTGGTGACTAAATAATAAAATTTTAACGTATATAAATATTTTAATTTAATTTGGGGTCAACGCTAATTTGTTTCATTTTCAATTTATCGATACTGGTTTGAAATACCGGAAATTCAGTTTTCGATTATTTGATTACATTTAATTTTAACAGTAAAGACATTGTAATTTACGGTCTCGGTCTATTTTCCCGGGTCATTACAGAATATTGGTCATTTGGATATGAACAATCAAAGTTATCGGCATAACTCATCATATTTTGATAATCAAAATATTGATTTGGATCATAAAGGATTATTTTCAATACTTTGCTGGTTTAATGTTGCCACATTAAGTATGACACATTTAAAATAAGGGGAAACGTGCATTTTGTCTTATTTTGTGTTTTATGACCTAGAATTTATTTTGATTGCCATAAAAGGGGAAAATGATCTTTATTTGCCATGTCAAAGGGCTTAAAAAAAAGAACTGGCCATTTTCAAGGTTGGTAACCTAAAAAATCTTGTTTCGTATATGCCTAAAAATTGACTCTAAAATTGAGTTATTTCGTGGACCTTTAAAAAAATACACAGAACGATAGCTAGCGTTTGTATTATAAGACATTTTAAACCAAGCTTTATTTTACCAATAAATTCAGGTGGTAAAAATGGTAGAGGCATCCGCTTGTCTCAGTACGACCCGGACGATCCGATGAGCCCTAGCGGAGGCACGGTGCCTCATTCCTACAACAGCTTGGACAATCCGTCCAAACCTCCTCTGAGCCTCAATTCAAAAGTGTCCACCATTTCTCAAAATTACACGGAAAAGACCATGTTGCTTAGCTCCGATGAAGAAAATTAAATGTAATGTCAATATTATGCTTATTAGACTTAGTAAATTATACCTTTCAATGTGTAAAAATTTATTTAAATAAAAACCCAATTGATATTTTCACTATTATGTTTATTTATTTATAATAAAATCTTATATTTTTATAGGGTTACAATAAATAATGGCAAAAGGAAAATATTATTATTATTACAACTATTTAAAAGATTTTTTTTTATAAAACAACAAGTACCTAATTTCCAAAGGGCCTTTTCTTATTTTTCATCACAGAATTGGCTTGTTTGTAGAAAAAAAAGGCCCTTCAAATATTAATAAATATTTCTTTTTTTTTAAACAGTGCAAAGATTACATTATAAGTGAATATAAGATTGCTTATCTTGTGCCTCGTATAATACGATTTTTAAGTTGCTCCCACTAATTTTATACTTAGTTAAATATTATATTGCTGAAGAATAAAATTCTGAAAGGAGTATTTCAGAAGACTTATCACAGTGGTATCAAAAAGAGTTAGGAGGGTATTAATAATCCGATACCCGTATGACTTTAAGGCCCTAAATAGCTCTACTAACTAATCGTAACCATTGGTATATGTCGAAAATTTCCTTTAGGCAATATCTTTTGTAGAGCTATTCAGTAAAATTGATTAGGTATAGACATAACAAAGTAATTGGCAGGATGATTTATAGGAAATTAAGGTTTACAAGACAATGTTTTAATTTAAGCAGATTTTTTTCAGTAAAGATTCCCAAGTAAGGGTTAAAACAATTGCGACAGTTTTATGAAAAAGATATAAAGTGCATTTTCTTTTAGAGTATCTATATCTACATAGAGAAATTTGACAATTTATATTATATATGTACAATAAGAACAAAGTCACTTAAATAGTGTTTGAGTAGAAAATCAGTCTCATTTACAAGCCTTTTTTCGAGCTGCTTATAGACGACTGGATCGAATCAATCCGACATCATAATACCACAGCTAATTACAATAATGTTTTTTTTTTTAAATATTATCCTCCTCGATGTATTATATATAATTTACAAATGGCTTTATGAACAACAAATGGACGATTTAAATTCAAAAATCACATGTAAAATATGATGAGAACAAGTATTGTACAACTTGTATTTAACAAAAAAAAAAATGAGTGATTGTTGAGCGTTTACACCAATAATTCCTTATTCCGAATTTCCACTTTTCATCCCCAACTCTTTCGGCCAGGTCCGTTCCTGCAACGAATCCCACTGTTTGTACTTCGTACCGCGGTGGTTCCCAGGTTGCTGCAACTTGCCGCTCATGCTGGTACTTTTTCGAATTTCCACGGTTTTCGTCGGTTGCAACAATGGCGAAGTCGCAAGCATTGGAGATTCGTCTCCACTGTCGAAACTATCGGAACACGAACTGGCAGTACGTTCGCGTTTCTTCAAACTTTGTTCCAGTCTACGCAGGAATCTGGTTTGACGAAAATTAACTTAAATGAAATCGTTAAGCATAAGCGCAACTAGGCTCCAAATTTGAGGGGTGCTGCAGCACCATTTTTTGTTTTTTTTTTTTTTTTTTATTATTATTTTTTTTTTAATTGAAATGAGACGCGTAAAAGGTTAGTTTCACAAGGGTTTGTACTTACGTCATCATTTGCCTTTTTTTTTAAAAAAATAGGTTTTTTTTATGTCTGAAATTTCGAACAAACATATAGTTCGTTGCACGGCACGCAGGTTTATACTTACGTCATCGATGACGTCATAACTTAGAGAAAAAGTTATGTCATAGATTAATTCATGGAGCACCTTTGGAATTATTGTTTTGTAATACATTTTTTAACTTAGAAGAGAATTTATTCAGTTATCCGAAAATATACATATAAATAAAATTCTCCTAGAGTGATTTTTCACTGGAAAATTTTCAAAAATTTCCCTCTGCCAGTTTTCCAGAAAAAATTAAAATGTAAGTGGATGAATTTTCCTTAATTTTGCTTAAATAAGTCAATTTTCCACAATTTTTCCTGAGTGATTTTTTATTGAAAAATTTTGAAATTTTGCTTTAATGAGATCCTCACTTTCCTCTTTTTTCTGGAAAATTTTCACAATTTTCCTTTTGCCAGTTTTCTAGAAAAAAAATAAAATGTAAGAAAATGAATTTTGCTTGAAAAAATCAATTTTTCCTTAGTTTTTGCATTTTCGAAAAACTCATAATTTTCGTAAATCACCCGTAACTTTTTCGTAATTTTCCCATAACTTCAAAAATCATAATTTTTTCGTAATTCCTGTAATTTTTTGTACCCATTTTTAATCCTCCCAATTTTTTAAAAAACTTCGTTATTTTTAAATTCCCCCCCAAGTTTTGTAATTTTCATAATTTCAAAAATTCGTGATTTTCGTAAATCCTATAATTTTTATAATTTTTGTAATTCTCTTTATTTTTATAATTCCAGTAATTTTTCGTAATTCCTGCAATTTTCCGTAACTTTTCAAAAATTGCGAAAAAGTGAGTGTCAAAATCGCAGGAAAATGACGTTGGAATTACAAAAAATAGAAGTGAAAATTACAGAAAAATAATGTTGGAAATTTTGGAATTGCGAAAAAGTTAAGTAAAAATGGCGGAAAAGCAAGGTTATAATCGAGAAAAAATGAGGTTATAAATACGAAAAACAAAAGTAAAAATTTTGGAAAAATTAAGTGAAATGTGAGACGAAAATCGCGGAAAAGTGAGGTTATACTTATTGAAAAATGAGGCAAGACTAACGGAAAAGTCAGGCAAAATTCGCGGAAAAATTTGTTGAAATTGCGAGAAAGTGAGTTTGGACTTTGAAATTGCGGAAAAGTGAAGGTGAAATTGCGAAAAAAAATTGTTGAAAGCCGTTATTTCTCAAATAAATTTCGTTTTTTTTTATAATTTTTCCTTAGTTTTTGCAATTTTCGCAAAACTCGTAATTTTCGTGATTCCTATAACTTTTTCGTAAGTTTTCTAATTTTTCGTAACTTTCCAAAATTCATCGTAATTTTTCTGTAATTCCCGTAATTTTTGAATAATTCCTGTTGTTTCTCAGATTTTCGTAATTTTTTAAATTCTGTAATTTCTCAAAATATTCAGTTACTTATTTTATAATTCCCCCTAAGTTTTTGTTACTTTCAAAAATTCGTAATTCCTGTAATTTTAATTTTTTTTTTGTGAATTTTCATTATTTCCGTAATTTCTCAGATAATTCTCCCTATTTCTATAATTCTTCCTTAGTCATTGCAATTCTTGGAAAACTCGTAATTTTCGTAATTCCCGTAAGTTTTTCATAAATCCCGTAACTTTCCAAAAATTATCGTAATTTTTTCGCAGTTCCCGTGATTTGTTCTTATTTCTTTCAATTTTTATATTTCCTGTAGTTCCTCAAATTTTCGTAGTTTTGTGATTCCCGTAATTTCTCAAAAAACTCCGTTATCTTTATAATTCGCCCCCGGTTTGTTGTGATTCTCAAAAATTGGTAATTCCCGTATTTTTTTTTTCTTGGAATTTTCGAAAATTCTCAAATTCCCGTCATTTCTCAAAAAATTCTCGTTAATTTCATAATTCCCCCTTAGTTTTTGTAATTTTCGGAAAATTCGTGAATCCCGTAACTTTTTGTAATTCTTGTTATTTTCGTAATTTTTTGAGAATTGTTAGAATTTTTTTAATTCCCTTGATTTTTTCGTATTTTTCATAATTTTTGAATAATTCCTGTAGTTTTCAGATTTCCGTAATTTTTTAATTCCTGTAATTTCTCAGAAAACTTCGTTATTTTGATAATTCCGAAAACATGTAATTTTCGTATTTTATTTTGGCAATTTTCGAAATTTTGTAATTCCTGTCATTTCTCAGATAATTCTCGTTATTTTCATAATACCCCCTTAGTTTTTACAATTTTCGAAAAACTCGAAATTTTCGTAATTCCCATTATTTTCGTAATTTTTTAATTTCCGTAATTTCTCGAAAAAATTCCGTTAGTTTTATAATTCCCCCTAAGTTTTTGAAATTTTCGAAAGTTGGTAATTTCCGTATTTTTTTTTTTTGGGGGATTTTCGAAATTTTTTAATTCTTGTCATTTCTCGGATAATTCTTATTATTTTCTAATTCCCCCTTATTTTTTTCAATTTTTGGAAAACTTGTTAATTTTCAATTTTCCTAATTTCCAAAAAAATTCGGAATTTTCTAATTTTCCCTAAGTTATTATAATTTTCGTAATTTCAAAAACTTGTGATTTCCGTTATTTTGGAAATCACCGTAATTCACGTAATTTTGAAATAACTTTGTAATTCTTTCCCGTAATATTTCGTAATACCCGTAATTTTTGTAATTTTCGTAGTTTTTCGTATTTTTCTCAGTTCCCGTAATTTTTATAATTTCTCATAATTCCCGTAAATTTTCGTCATTTCTGTCATTTTACTGGGTTCCGTAAATTTTTATAATTCCCATTATTTTTCATAATTCCCGTAATTTGTCTTGTTCGTTTTCGTAACTTTTCGAAAATTAATAATATTTGAATAATTGACGTAATTTTGTAGTAACTTCGTAATTATTTTGTGTAATATTTGGCAATTCCCATAATTTTTGTAATTGCGCAATTTTTTGTTATTCCGTAAATGTTTGCAATTTTCATAATTTTTCATATTTTACGTACTTTTTAACGTAATTCCCGTAATTTTTCGTAACTTTCCAAAAATTATCGTTATTCTCGTAATTTTGAAATGAGGATAAAATCGCGGAAAGTGATGATAAAATCGCAAAAAAAATATGAGTCAAAAATTTTCAAAAAAAGTGAGTTTAAATATAGTAAGATGAGACTCACGGAAAAATGAGGATAAAGTCACGAAAAGTGAGGATAAAATCGCGGAGAATGAAATAGGAATCGCGGAAAAAATGAGGTAGAACATCGCAAAAAAAAAGTGAGACAAGAATCGCGGAAAAATAAGATAATATTTACAGAAAAGTGGGTTTACAATCGCGAAAAAGTGGATTTAGAATCGCGGTAAGTGATGGTAAAATAGCAAAAAAATTAGTCAAAAATTGCAAAAAAAATTATTCTAAAATCACAAAAAAAGTGAGGCAAATTCGCGGAAAAGTGAAGATAAAATCGCGGAAAGTAGGGAAACAATCGCGGGAAAATGAGGTAAGAATCGCGGAAAAATGAGGATGAAATAGCGGAAAAATAGGTTTGTAATCGCCGAGGAGTGAGGGTAAAATCGCAAAAAAGTGAGGATGAAATCGCAAAAAAGTGAGATAAGAATCGCGGAAAAATGAGGTAATATTTGCGGAAAAGTAGGTTTACAATCGCGGAAAAGTGAATTTAGAATCGCGGAGAAGTGATAGTAGAATGTAAGATTTCTAAATTATGACGTCATCGATGACGTAAGTAAGTACAAAAAGTACAAAAAAAAATAATAATTTGGTTGCACTGATTTTTTATATTAGTTTTAGGTAGTGCTATGGTGGGATGCCGAATGGGAATGCTAATTTTTGCTTTAGGGGTGCTTAGCACCCCCAAGCACCCCCCTAGTTACGCCTATGTCGTTAAGTTTCGTACTCACCTGATTTGGTTACTAATCGCCTTAAGCCTGCTAACTTTCTGATACTTTGGCTGATTCTTAGTAAACTCCAATGATCTGGATAACATTGGAGTGCTAGGGTTGGAGTCATCCTACAAAATTAGGCCAGTTTAATAAGATTCTAACAGACACTTGATTTACCTTGTCTTCAGCTAACATATCCAATGACCTAGGATGTTTACCATCCATCCATCGAATAGTATCGGGACTGGGACTCGAAGAAGAGTGCCGTAGTTCCCTTGTTGAAGTAATACTTTCGGAACTCGAAGAAGAACTAACCACTTGAGTACGAGCCAGTCTACGTTTAGGACTTAATTTCCTTGGAGGCGGTACCTTGTAGTATGCATCCTTATTACTAGGAACATCCAAATGATTGTACCAAGTTAAATTTTGCTTAGTAGGACTGGGTGTTTTGGCTCTCAAGGCACGTTTTTCACGTTTTCTGCCCACCTTTTTGTGTTGATAAGTTGCCACGTTGACTTTGTCGCTGCTAGGAAAATCGTACAGCCCGTCCGAGTCGGTGAACGGTAGCAAATCCTTGTTTTTGCCGTAAAATAATGGCGAAAACCTTCCCATACCAGTAGTACGATCGCTCAGAGGGCTTTCGCTACGCGAGCTCATGGGACTTAAATATTTTTCACCATTAGCAGAGTCGAGTTGCACCACAATTGAAGGCAATTGCAAAGAGTTTTTGCTGCTAGAGCTAGTCAGAGGGGCTATTAGCCTATCCATAGAGCTCTCTATACTTATACATTTAGCTAGACGTGGAACTGGTAAGTCTAGTAACGTTATTTTAGGCTCGTTACCATCTGTCATGAAAACTTCAAGCTCTTTTGCACTTTTCACCTCACCTTCATCAATTTTTTCATCTATATGATCAGTGCCAATACCTTCATCATTAGACTCTAACAGAGGATCGTCAGATAAAGTTTCAGAATCTGATCTGCCTCTTCTTTGCTCGCCTTGGTTAGGTTTTGAGTCATTATTTGCAGGACTACCACCTCTGAGCACAGGAGTCAAAGACTGCCGCCTGGAACAGCCTCCAGAACCCGGAGGCCCTTGATCTTCCATTTCAGACGGACACAAGGGATTACTGGAGCCGCATCTCGAAGGTCCTGGACTAGCCATCGAACTATATCCAGAAGAGCTTAGATTTGATTCGGAAGCGTGCTGCTCATTTCTATGAGCCATCGAAAACGGACTCAGATAAGTCATGCCAGGAGGATGATGATGTGTGAGTTTAACGTTAGGCGATATACTTTCCAAGTCGGATTCAGCTTCACTCATGTTACAAGTGATTGTTATAAGGGGTGGGGCCCCAGGCAAGTCCAAGGAGGTGGGTTTTTCAAAATCCTTGAACATTTTACGGTTGGATTTGGCCGGCGCCGGGAATTGGAAGGCGTCTTGGTGCTGAGGGCGGCCGCGTTGAGGCGGCGGCGAGCCCGGTATTAGGAGGGTTGGGGTTTTGCGAGTCGGGGATGGCGTTTCGATGGTTAGGGTTGGTATTACTAGAGGCGGATGCGACGACGATGGTGGGTTTTTGTCGGTGAGCTGGCCCAGTGGTGGAGGACGAATCTGAAACAAAGTGTTTAATAAAATTTACAATCAAGTACGGTCCTGAACTAGCTGTCAATCAACAAAAAGGAAGTCAGCCCAGATCAAAGAGAGATGACATTCTGTTGCGCAAAAATTAACTCTTGAACCGTTTGAATAATGAATTTGAATACATAAACCCTAATAGGCCTAGGTACAGTAAGACACCCTTAAGGAATGCGGCCAGCGCAACAAAAGTGCTCGCGGCTACTCAGTGGTGTGGGAATAGGTTCATTATATAGTTTTAGCTTTATAGAGCGCCACTGGTTTACAAAATAAAATCCACGGACTTAAACCAGAAAGTTCCTGATCTCCAAAATTCCTCCAAGATGTACCTACTCGATGTACCTATCTTTTAAAAACAACTTTACCTTAGTTTGGTTGAGGTCAGTAGGGGAAATAAGATTCAAATATAAAAACAATGAATATAAATCTAAACTGCTAAACAGGCGGTAAAACAAACTTGGAAATGTACCAAGTTAAGTATGAGAAATACAATTAATAATAATAGAGAAAAAATAATTAGGAACGTTAATAAATTAACGGGTACATCACCCCCTTGTGGTCCTCCCTGCAGACTAAATACCCATTTACATTACTGTTTCCTGACAGCTTCACAGCCTGTATAACAGAATCCCAAATATTTACAAACTACTGATATGCTAATCTAAATGTTGATAACGAAAAGGTAAATCCAGATTGATGAAAACGTTTAAATTTTTTAGTTGAACAAAACGTGCTCTTTGCTCGCATGATAACTCAACAAAATGGCGTAGACTTTCGTCTCCAGAAAATATTCTGAGTGGTTGGCTTACAAATACGGGGACTTACGACCAAATCCAAGTTTTCACCCCAAAACCAATTAAGCCAGCTACCACTTGAGTTCCCAACGGCTCTAAAATCCCACAAAAGGTGGATGTTCCAAGGAACGCAACAAAGAGGACCGCTGTTAAAATCTGCCCAACAACTTGTTGCTTGCTCAACGTGCGAATTTAAAGAGAACGACCCTATTTTAGCCATTTACCAGGAGGGCTCATATAAGAAATTTTCCAGAATTCTATTTTTTCCAAGATGCCGAACAACCCAACCCACATCGATGCCAAACAAAACTCAAAATTTTTATCCAATTTTCTCCCCTAGCACTAGATAATTATTTAATTAGTAATCATCATCTACCCAGTCTTTAGTCTAAAAACCATCAAACTAACCACCTGTTCAGAGATAGCAACGTTATAGCAACAAAGGTCAAGAAGCCTCAGCAACAGCGCTGCCTGAAACTGATCAACAAGTGTCTCATAACCACACCTATTCGGCGAAAATAAATAACCGGGAAAAAGTAAATATTAGTGCAAATAAGGGTGAAAAAGCGATTTAAAAGGTGTGGAACTGATTTGTGATGCAGAATTTTTAGTAATGGAAAATATGAGACTCGTAAGTGTTGCCAATTGATATTTATTTGGAAGTTAACAAACCTTTTCATCAACAGTTAGGGCCTTTTAGACAACTTTCGTAAGCTAAATAAAATAAATTTCGATCCTATTAGTAGGGCTTTATTATCCTAAAACTACCCTGTCATCTGAATACAAAAAATTAATTCTGTATTACCCCGAAAAATATACCTTTGTTCAACATCCACATATTATTGTTTCGCATTCAATCAAAAAGGCAGAAAACTAGTAGAATCCAATGAGGAACCTATCAATCACCGAAAAATATTAAACCCATAGGCGCAACTAGGGGGGTGCTTGGGGGTGCTAAGCACCCCTAAAGCAAAAATTAGCACTCCTATTCGGCATCCCACCATAGCACTACCTAACACTTATATAAAAAATGAATGCAACCAAATTATTTTATGTATTTTTTTTGCACTTTTTGTACTTACTTACGTCATCGATGACGTCATAATTTAGAAAAAAGTATTTGTCGTTGATTAATTCATAGAGCACATTCGCAATTATTATTGTTATAAAATAAAAATTTTCAACCAGGGCCGGTATTACAATATTACCTTCAAATCAAGACTTACCCTAAAGTATAGGGTTTTTATGTTATATTTAGGATGACGTCATCGAACAAGGTCAGACAATGTTGTCAATGTCTGTGTTTATTCTATATCTTAAAGTGACATTGAAATACCGGCTCTTAAAAAATCATTAGAGTCCTAAATATATAAATTAATTATACAGGGTGTTCCTAAATATTATGTACAAACGACAAAAGGTGATTCTTTTTTTTTACGACTGAAATCTCAAATATGTTCTAAAAAATTGACTTATTCAAGCAATTAAAAAAAATTCACCCTCTTACATTTTAATTTTTTTTTGGAAAACTGGCAACATGAAAATTTTGAAATTTTCACAGGAGAAAGAGGAAAGTGAAGAGCTTATTAGAGGAAAATTTCAAAATTTTCCAGTGAGAAATCACTCCAGGATAAATTTATTTATCCCATTGTGACGTTTAAAAATGACATTATTGAACGCATTATAACGAAGGTAAGTGGACGTTTATCACCTGAGTGACTTAAAATATTTTTAACTCAGTCTCGGTCTTTTAAGTCACTCTGCCAGTATATAAATCTATTACAAATACAAACAAACAACTAGTTATACCCTGGCAACCACCAATTTCAATATTTAGCGCTTTCATAACGACTAAATGAATTCTTTTTATAATTTGATTCCTATAAAATACCTTATTTTTTAAATGTCCATCGAAATGGGATAAAATTTTGTATACATCACGTGAGTTAAAATGTTTATTCATTCGAAGAAAATTAACCCACTCGCTAGGGCTCGTGGGTTAAACTTTCTTCTTATGAATAAACATTCATTTAACTCACTTGGTGTATAAATAACTATTATATATTTTCGGATAATTGAATAAATTCTCTTCTAAGTTAAAAAATGTATTACAAAACAATAATTCCGAAGGTGCTCCATGAATTAATCTATGACTTAACTTTTTCTCTAAGTTATGACGTCATCGATGATTTAAGTAAAAACCTTCATGCCATGCAACGAACTATATGTTTGTTTGAAATTTCAGACATAAAAAAACCTATTTTTCAAAAAAAAAGCAAATGATGACGTAAGTACAAACCCTTGTGAAACTAATTTTTTTTACGCGTCTCATTTCCTTTCCATCAAACCCCTCAAATTTGGAGCCTAGTTGCGCTTATGATTAAACCTCAGGTATAAAGCTTCATAAATACCCTCACAAATACCTGAATTAATTACCGAATTCACTCGAAATCTCCAGTTACGTACTAAGGCAAAATTTGTACGTAACAACTCCGCCATCTCCAAAGGTAAGGTGAACATGATTTTCTTTTACGAGCCACAAAGAAACATAGGTAAAATACGAAATATAACCGATATTATAGCAATCTCTGGCTTCACGGGTAAACCGCGTTCTGTCCGATTTTGTGTGGTTAAAGTTAGGTGTAGGAACTATTATTACTTCTTCTTCCACCACGTGCAGTGAGTTCGAAAATGGCAACCGAAGAGAGTGAACGTGTGCGTTGACACCGTTTCAATGAAGTTTTCAATGAGTTGATGTCTTCGAAAAGTGCAAACAGTTTTTATTTTATCAATGAATAATACCAATACCATGGAATATTAGAATCAGTTAACTTGGCAAAAGATGCTACAACCATAAGACCCCTCTATACAATAGGTCTGTTCTCACAGAAATCACACTGCACGTGGTGAAAGAAGAAGCAATAATAATACCTACACCTAACTTCAACCACACAAGCTATAATCTCGGATATCTTTTGTAGGTACTTTACCTATGTTTATTGGGTATTTCGCAGTTTACCTGGGTAAAACTAAGCTCAATCTTTAATCTAACTTTACCCAATAATGCGACGCTGGAAGATAAAGAGAAGATCAACCAATAGATTACCTTTGTCTTAAATAAGGCACAGTGTTGCATAGCGGCAGCTTCCTCAAAAATCAGCCCGTCTTCAGCTTGTGGATCTATGGCAATATCGGCACATCGGATTTCGTCCTCCTCGCTAGCGCTCACGGATATATTCGGAATCTCTACGGATATCATATCATCTTCCAACGAAGACGCTGATATTTGCATACGTCTAAATATGGGACTTTGACTTCGGCGCATTATTAGAGGAGTGATTGCGGGCGATGGCATGGGCGAAGGCAACGGAGTGGGTAGTTCTCTAATGGGCGAAAGGCACTTGTTGATTGTGCTCGGTATTTCTAATAGAATGGTCGGAGGGTAGAGCAGGTTGGTACCGCTTCCTGCGCTTAGTGGATCCAGAACTGGCACTTCGATGGTGCTCTGATTGTAGCTGTAATGTATCGGACTCTCGCTCGAAAACGATACTGGAGTGTGAGCTGAGGATGAAGATGACTCGTCGTCGCCCACCATGTCGTCGTGAGGGCTCGAAGCTGTTGGAGTAGTTGATGGGGAAAGTTTCAAGGAAGATGGTAAATTGGCTCCGGCTGAGCTGGAGCTGAAATTTTTAAACATGGCTAATATTGAGTCTGCACTTGCAGGTTTTTGTTTGCCCACGGTGCCCTGTCTTCTGTTTATTAGTAAGTCAGATATGCTGGCACTTAGTGCACTTGGTATGGCTAGCTCTGAGCTAGTAAATGAGTCACTTCCTGTAAAATAATCTAGTGTTAAATAACAAAAATTGCTATATATAGGTTTATGAGTAGTACCTTGATTGCTTGAAGTGCTGTTAGGGCTTCTATTGAGCACACTAGGTGATGGTGGAGTGCTGGATGCTCTAGGAAAAATACATCCCAACCTGGTACTTTGCATTATCCCCATTTCCATATCAGAGCCGCTGCTCATCTCGGCACTGACTTTATTTAGCAATCTTGCAAATGTTACTTTCTTTTCTAATTTCGGATCATTCAACGCCGTCAAAGCGGGATCAGAAAATTTAGTTTCCTTAATGATAACGCTCGGTGCCGATTGTATGCCGTTACTCTTTTGCTCACTCATTTGAATCAGCTCACCTAAGCTCACTCGTTTTGATGAGTGCTTGTTGACCGGCGAAATCAACTGTTGGAGTATTTGTTTTTTATCAGCGGCGTTTTTCTTGGTTGGAGTCGAATTGTTGCGTTTCTTTTTGGGAGACGGTGAACCTGGAGAACCAGATTTGAGTCAGTTTTGAGTAACTTGGGAAATTGAAGGAGACATCTATAGCCAAAAGCGAATTTTATGTAGATTCATTATACTTGCGTATAATGAATCTGTAAAAATTAATAAGCCAAAGTGCGCATCAATTTACAAATAAGTACTGTGCAACCTACCAGCCACACGCAAAGTGATAGAAGGAAAGGGAACATGTTTGATCTACAAAAAAAAGAATAGAGAAAAATAGTTGGTTCTATATGAATATAGAATTAAGAGATTTATCCTGGAAGAAAGGGAAATAAAGTTACAACGACTTTATTTCTCGTAAAAAAAAAATTAGTAAGTACATACACAGGAGTTCAAAGATAAAGGTCTGTTTACTTCCAAGATAGAGGCAGCAGAGGATATTTTGGTCAACTCCAGTGGCGGCTCGTCGGAGGAGGCAGGGGCCCAAAAAATTGAAAATTCAATCTCAGTTTTTTATTCCTGATTCCTAATTAAAATAATAATTCACAAATTTCGATATTTCAATGTAATTCAGAAAAATCTGACAACATTATTTCAATCAATCCCGCGCCTCCACGATAAAAATCTGTGAATCTGGGATACTCAGAATACGAGCCCGAAGAGCCGGAGTTATACGCGAGCCCGAAGGGCCACAGTTATACGCGAGCCTGAAGGGCTGGAGTTATACGCGAGCTTAAGGGGCCGGAGTAATACGAGCCCGAAGGGCCTGAGTTATACGCGAGCCTGAAGGGTCGGAGTAAGACAAGCCCGAAGGGCTGGAGTTATATGCGAGCCCGAAGGGCCGGAGTTTTACGCGAGCCTGAAAGACCGGAGTTATACGCGAGCCCGAAGGGCCAGAGTTATACGTGAGCCCGAAGTGCCGTAGTAAAACGCGAGCCCGAAAGGCTGAAGTAATACGAACCCGAAGGGCCGGAGTTATACGCGAGCCCGAAGGGCCGGAGTCATACGCGAGCCCGAAGGGCCGTAGTTAAACGCGAGCCCGAAGGGCCGGAGTAATACGAGCCCGAAGGGCCGGAGTTATACGCGAGCCAGAAGGGCTAGAGTTATTTTAATCACGGGGCCCAGTCTATAATTCTATTGATCAGCGGATAATTTGGAGCCAATCAAAAATCGGGAATATTCAAAATGAAATTTTTAGTCGATATTCCGAGTTTCAGTTCTCTCCGAAGTACCGGAAAAAAGTTAGCCTCACCATCCTTCTTGATTTTGATTTTTTTTTCCGAATTTGCAAAAAAAAAAAACTATCGGATAGTGGAGCTAAAAAAATGTTGAAAAGCTTATGGGATCCTACTTACTATGACGCAATTTAAGGGGTCAGTTAAGTTAGCCCCCCCCCATAAAAAATTTCTGGATGAAAATTATCCCATAATTTTGCTCTCATTTTGCTCCACTAATTTCGATTTTTGTTCCATTACAGTGGAGAGACTATTTGGTATATTAGGTGGGGGGGGGGGCTGAATTAACGCTAGCCCCCCCCGCCCTCAGTGGAAATTCAGAAATTTGATTATGCTCATTTTGTTCTCCGAATTTTGCTCCATTATCGGCGAGTTTTGCTCCATTACCAGGAGAGACCTACAGAGCTCCCAAAAATCTCTCCTAGCCCCTCCCGGTAAAAATTTTGAAATTCGATCATGTTAATTTTGTTCTCCGAGTTTTGCTCCATTTTGCTCCATAATCGGCGAGTTTTGCTCTATTATCAGGAGAGACCTACAGAACTCCCGAGGGGGGGGGGGCTAGGAGAGATTTTTGGGAGCTCTGTATGTCTCTCCTGGTAATGGAGCAAAACTTGCCGATTATGGAGCAAAACTCGGAGAACAAAATGAGCATGATCAAATTTCAAAATTTTTACCGGGGGGGCTAGTATAGCATTAATTTTATTCCTTTTTATAAATTTATTCAAATAGACAGATGCAATCACACAGAATGCATGTTAAAAGATAAGCCTCATTTGTTCTGTTCCTTGAATCCCGATTTGCACTGTTACATTACAAATACAACAAACAAAACCGCACGATTCGTGTGCAATTTGCTTCCTACATATCCCGCAATAACCAAATGAAAATCAGCTACACACACAAAATGTTCATCATTCATTTCTCGACATAAATTGATGCTATACTGTTTTTGGTATTCGTTGTTCCGAAGACATCCTTACATCAAGTGTCAAATATCTCAAAAACAGTAGACTTTAGGTATAGGAAAGTGTACACAAAAAAGATTCAAAATTGTTCTTAGAATACGAATTTTTATTTCTAAGTATAGTATACCATTGAAATTATTGCAGTAACATAACCTCAAAAGTAGACCGACCGAAAACCTTCGATTGAACCGGAACTGATATTTTTGTGGTGGGACCCTTTAGTGCTTCTAAAATGAGTCCAAAAATATCGTAAAAGTTCCAACCTACTATCCATTGTTTGCTGTCAAAACTAAAATAGAAATTATTTTTTGACATTTTCAATCGCGATTTTCTTGAAAACTGTTTAAGTTAGGTATAGGATATTATACATAAAATATGCTTAGAATTTCTCATAGAATCCAAAAATGTAATAATATAGGGGGTGATCTAGTTGAAATAAAGAAGTTGATGGCACTTGCGGTCAAACCAGAAGCGATAGTCGATTGTTTTTATAGCGAAATTCTGCATCGATATCAATAATATACATCCTCAAAACTTGAAATCGATATTGATATTCATGCCTGAACTAGAGCTTGGTCAGTAATCTCGTGGTCACCCGGTATATTAACATACTCGGATGAGAAGAATTTTAAATGTAACATTTGCAATGCAAAATTTAAAAGAAAAGGCGATTTGAAGGAACACATATTGATACCCTTGGATATTTAATTTTTTTGAATGGGATATTTGCAAATCAAAATTTAAACGAAAACACGATTTGGAGATACACAAACTAACACATTCGGGTATTTATCCACTTGAATGTGACACTTGCAAGGCAAAATTTAAACAAAAAGGTAATTTACAAAGGCACATTTCAACACACTCGGACATTTATCCTTTTGAATGTGACACTTGCAAATCAAAATTTAAACGGAAAGCCGATTTAAAGATTCACAAACCAACACATTCGGATATTTATCCATTTGAATGTGACACTTCCAATGCAAAATTTAACCAAAAATATAATTTCAAAAGCCACATATTAACACACAGATTGTTTATTATTTGATTCACTTAATAGTGACATGTGTTTCGCTCCGGGATCCTTGAATTCGACCACAAAATTCACCTGTTCCAGAATAAGGAAAAGGGTGACAATTTTATGATAGTTGGACTCGGCCCAATCGGTTATCAAGTAGGTGGATATTTTATGACCCATCGGCCATCGGTATCAATACGCAAATTTGTACACTGAGACATAGATATTAAATCAACTTATTTACTTCTTATAAATAGCTAAAATCTGAGGCATGATGGAGGAAGATCCAAAACTTAGGCTTAAGCATTGAATATAAAAAAAATGATTCAGAAATCGGTAAATCGTTACATAATTGTTTCGGAATGATGTTTTTGGAAAATCAAGAAATTAGCGATTTCTTTGTTTTTGAATTGTTAGCTATTCAGCCGAATGACGAAGTTCTAGTTAAATTTTCAGATCATCTCATCGACACATGGCACATGCCTCGATAGACCTGGATAAGACATCTTTCTTTCCATAGTCATTTTGGTAGATCTTTTTATTTTGCGCATCAAAATACATATTTACACTTTTTTAGATTTATTTACTCATATGCAATGCGAAATCTGTCAACATCATAAAGTAAGTTTTTTGGGCAGTAGGTTGGGTTTCATGATTTGGCCGAATTCAAAGGTAGGATTACTGCAAGTATGCCCGTTTCGCTTATACGAGCATCATCTGACCTACAAAATAATATATGTAGAAAAATTATTACATTTGGTTTCCTCTGTGTATTTGAGACTTTTATGACAGAATTCTTTTTAGTAAGAAATAGTCGAAATTAATAGTTTCCAAAAGTGCTTACTTTTAAACATTGATGTCTCAAAAACTAATCGTACGATTTAGATTTTGCTATAAGACTGTAAAGGGAAATCAACGAGCTATCCAACGATGTACAGCACAAGGTAGGTTAGTATTGAAAAAAAAAAAATAAGTTATGGAAGCTACACCCTAAGAGGGTTCCTCGTCCAATCTCTCAATTCCACCGATAGGTATTTGAGATCCTTATAATATTTTTTGTCTTAAGAGATATTCCCGATTGCTATTTTTCAAATTGTCACTCTATATTATGTACGTATATACCGCGTGTTGCTAAATTCACCAAAATGGTGCACCGCCACGGATGCGGTGATTGAAATTCACTAACGCCAATGCCAAAACACAGCTTGTCAAACCCTGTTTAATTTACCAACATTGTTTTTTCTACCATTCCACCACAATGCCTACACCAGCTGAATTTAGCCACACACGGATAGTGCGGTGGCATTGGTGGCTAGGGTACGTTGCGTTCCGTTTTCTTATTCCGATATACATTCACGTTTTCTATTTTAATGAAAATAAAGTCGCAAAATCGGTCCGCGATCATAGTTCAACTAATATCAGAAGTTTTAATATTTTTTATTCAAGGAAAATAATTAAAATTTAAGAGATTTCCAGGGGGGGTCAAGTAACTCCCCCTGACCTTCCCTGTGGGCGCCCTTGCCCCCCCACCTAATATACCAAATAGTCTCTCCACTGTAATGGAGCAAAAATCGAAATTAGTGGAGCAAAATGGAGCAAAATGAGAGCAAAATTATGGGATAATTTCCATCCAGAAATTTTTTATGGGGGGGGGGGGCTAACTTAACTGACCCCAATTTAAGACTGGGAACAAATTAAAAAAAGGATATTTCGATTTTGGCCAGATAAAAATTTCGATGATCTGACACGGCGTTACTTTTTCGCTTATAGCTCCTCTATTTCTCAACCAGTCGTTTCGAATCATATCTCTTTTGGAAGAGAATGAAATTACCTATAAAATATTTTTGAATTGAAATTCCAGGCCATTTTCGTCTTTGCGATATGTCAAAGTTGAAATTCTTTGTGATTTTGTTAAAATTTTCCAGGTCGATTTTCTCGAAAACGGTGTCCCGTGGCGGGATACTTCTTATGAGCTTTTTTGTAGTACTCGACGAGATCTATAAGTTTTGTATTTGAAGTTTTTCTCCCGAGCTTTACGTTATTGAGTTAGGTCGCTTTGAAAATTAAAAAAAAAAATTGGAAGGCTTATATCCCCATAGATTTTTTTTTCGAAAAAATTCAATTTTTAAATTTTGGAAAAAAAATATTGGAAAAAGAAGCAAAAAATACGACGAAAAGTTAATCTGACTCTCCTTGCTACGGCGCATCCTAAAGCCGGAAAAAAAAAAAAAAGGAAATTTCAATTTTGATCAGAAAAAAATTGTGGGTACCCGACATGAGGCCATTTTGTCAGAATCCCTGTCCTGCAAGGCTAGACTCTCACATGCTTCACTGAAATCTAGCATTCAAATGGACCGCGGATCTGAGCGTCCAATAGAAATGCCGGAAACATGTCGAACCACTACTGGCGTTCAGCGACCATAGTCTCGAAGAGCGGCTAGCCGCACGCATAGTTGAAAACTGCCATCCTTGCTTTTTTTTATCTCTGTTTTATGCATTAAGAGTTCCATGTTACTTTTCTAGTAGGAAGTTGTAGAATTATAGTTGATTGATATTTTTTTGCATCAGGTGCATTGTAAATTATTGTGCATCTTGTTGCAAAAGGTACATAATTATTATTGTAATTAATCATAATTTTCAATTTGTGCCTTCCTTGTGTTTTTTATTTTTTATTTTTCGTCAAAATTAATTCTGAAAATATATACTCGCATGAAGAAAAGGAACATTTTCTCGAGTATTCATGGTTTTTATTGAATTTCAGATAAATTATTGAGGGCATGGGCACCCCAAAACAAATTTTACCTGCTGCGCAGTGGCTACTTTACCGTAATTTATTATTTTTTAACCTCCTCACTTGAAATAGTCACAAACCGCCACTGGTCAACTCTATCTTGCAAGTAAATAGAGATTATAGATTGACAACAGGCAAAAGTGTAATAGAGACAAATACAAGTAGGGCATTTTGCCTTACGTCTCGGGGGAGGTTTAAGTAAATCGTCCAAACTAAAAGTGCGGGCGGTGGCCGGCGAATAACCGCCCCCGGAGCAGGCGTGTGGACTGGTCAGGCTGAGGATGGACGGCTTGCGGATACCCAAACGGCCGAACAACGAACGTCCCGGCGCCGGACCCGGCGATGGAGTCGCTGCAGCTAAAGCCGCAGTCGACGACGCTCCTGAAGCTGCTGCCAATTGCTCTCGAACCGACGTACTACGCAACGAATGAACTAGAAATATGAATCAAGTATTAATGTTTGTTTATTTAGGATTAAGGATTATTATACTTCTGTTTCTATTATCATCTTCGGCTAGTAGTTTTTCGATTTTTTCTGGGAAATGTCGTTTGGCGCACCAAACTAACCCAATTACTCCCATTACGACGAATACGGTCATTAGTCCGAGCCAAAATGGCTCTCGAAGCATTCGCTCGCTTAGGGGCTTGTAAGGAATGTGGAGCATACGTTTTTCACATCTTGCACCTGTAAAAATATATTTTTGAAGCTTCTAACTTGCTAGATATTAAACTAAAAAGTACCTTCCCACCAAGCATGACAACGGCACTGGAATCCGTTCCCTTTTTCGATACAAGTGCCCCTGCTTTCGCAAGGATTGCCTTCGCAAGGTTTACGTTTTTGTTCGCAAGTTGGTCCCACGTAGTCAGTTTTACAATGGCACTTGTAGCTGTTATCAGTCAGCTCGCACGTACCAAAAACACACGGTTCCAAATCGCATTGGGTAATTGCACAGAACAACCCTACAATAATTTTAATAGTACAGCGGATTAGCTAACCTACTGTGTACTTTTTGATAAAGGTACCAAATTTGGCACAGAGGTGAATCGATGTAATATGAACAAATTTGGATGTGGAGCCATCGGCCAATTTTCCGCCGGCGGCCGTGGTGGCGATTTTCTGAAATGGCCGCTAGTGGACACCCCGAAAGACAACGGAAGTTAGTTTTAGTGAATGTTTATTGATTAATTTCAATGAATATATGCCCGATAGTTTGTTAGTAATACAGGGTGGGGCACGAAAAACTACCCACCTAGGTTTACTCAGGTGTTAGGTGAATAATCAAAAACTGCTCGGACACGTCCATTTTTTATTTTTCGGGGACACATTCCAGGTATTCTTTCCTTTCAATCTACACAAACCTTAGACACAAACTGATTATTAGTTATTTATACACCAAGTGAGTTAAATGAATGTTTATTCATGAGAAGAAAGTTTAACCCACGAGCCCTAGCGAGTGGGTTAATTTTCTTCGAATGAATAAACATTTTAACTCACGTGATGTATACAAAATTTTATCCCATTTTGTGGAAATTAGGTACGTGTCCCAAATAAAGCCATGTTAAGAAGTTTTATTTTTTTCCTAACATTATCCACCAAACCCAACCAAAATTACCAGCTTATATGTGAAGTGTTTCGCTTCTATTACTTGAATACTAACTCCAATTTATTTATTTTTTCATATAAGTAGTGGTTTTTGCGTAAAACAAAAACGCTTACCATTGGCCTTATTTGGATCACTATGTTCCTAATAAGGCCACTATAGAAAAATGTTCAAAATAAATACAAATATTTAAGTATAAAAATATTATTATTTGAGAAATAGTACACACATTAGGACTTATATGTTTGCTGCATTCCTAAAAAAACAAGAATTCCAAGTCCTGGGATAGTGATCCAAATAGGTCTGCATATAACTAGGACAAATGAACCGCAGCATCTTTTGCTTGGTTAGACTCCAGGCATTTCAAAAAATATCACACAGATAATAATATGACACATTCTTTTAAAAAAACACTGTGATGTGAGGCCAATTGAACATTTTTCGTATGATGGCCTTATTAGAAACATGTTAAATTGATAAAAAAAAGTCTGTAACTAGAAATCTAGCAAAGATATTATTCTGTACTTACTCTGTAGCTTTCTCAATACATAAATGTTCCTTAAAAAATTACAATCGTTCCATTTACTTTATAAACACGTATAATAAGCTAATTGAGTTCCAGGCTCAAAGTTATAACGTGACATATGAAATATGTGGTTGGCCATTTTTCGAAATATGACGAGTTGCTAGAAACCCTTGCAATAATTTTTGATTTGCATTATAGATTTCTTTTTTAATAATATTGTAATTTTTGAAAATGGGATTCAATATTAGGCAATAAAGGTTACTGGCCTTATTAGGTACATGGCCTTATTTGGGACAGGTACCTTTTAAAAAAAATAAAGTACAAGGAAAAATGCCGGGAGTGAGTTAAAAATATTTTAAATCACTGAGGTGATAAACGTCTACTTACCTTTATTGTTATGCGTTCAATAATGTCATTTTTAAACGTCAAAATGGGATAAAATCTTATAATCACGTGAGGTTTGTTCATGAAGCGTCAAAAAAAAAGTTAGGGTCAATGAAATCGTTGCAAAACCGGATGAAAATTGTTTGAAATAAACCTCAAGTGAGTTCGATCAGTTTGTTCAGATCGAAAGAATACCTGTATTTTATTGGTATTTTCACCCTCTACCTGTCAACCTCTAAGCGGGGGCGACAAGTACCCGCAAAATTTCAAAAGGGGGTTCGAGTGATAGGTACAATGTATTATAGGTTTTTTATGTTATTTTTAGGGCAAGCGCGCACTAGCTATTTATTGTCGCGCGACTGTTTATTTGCTAAAATGAAACATTAACATTTTAACGACGATACACGCATTCTGCGATAAAATAATCGCTGCGGATAAAAAATAGAACCAGTCTCATTTCACGGCGACGCGACTGCGACAACCAGTGATGCCGTTTTTAGTACATTTGTACTAGATTCAGTACACTCTTGTTTAATTTAGTACGTCAGTACACCATCGAAAATTTTAGTACACTTTAGAGAAGATTACAAATCACTATAGCAATTTCCATTTACAGAATCAGTGCAAAAAAAATGTACCTATCTCTATCCTTACATTTTATATGCTTTTAGCAAAACATGCAGAGTGCGAAAACACGGGTATAGGTTTTTCATGTTATATTCAGGATGATGTCATCGAACAAGGACAGACAATGTTGTCAATGCCTATTTTTTTTCTTATAATTTACCAGAATGTCATGTGTTAATGTTTCTGACGACAGCTAAAAATAACGAAATGTTTCTACAGGTCATGCAACGTCGCGCGCCGTTGTCAACCAAAAACATCTGAAATTCCCCTACTTTAAATGCGTTAAATAGTTCTTTCAGTTTTGTTGGGTTGGCAGCAGAAATTTACCAAAGGTGACGTCATCCTAAATATAGCGTAAAAATCCTATATTGTATACAAAGTTCCTAAAGTTAATAGGTTGTCTGGTAATGGGTAACTTCATAACGCATCTGGGGTGCCTTAGGGCCGGTATTATAAAGCCTGGTTGACCGAAGGTTGAGTTTCAACCATAGCGATTGAATTGACATTTCCGTATGATTTTATACCATTGAGGTTTTTTTACGGACATTTCAGTTCAACCGTCGGTTGAAATTCAGCTTTCGGTCAACCGGGCTTTATAATACCGGCCCTTATGGAGATTTGCATTATGTTGAGGCACTCCAGATGACGTCATAAAGTTATCAGGCAACCTACCTCTCTGAAACAACCTTGCTAGTTCCTAATATAGTTTAGAAATGGCATGAGTAATTTGTCAAATAGTAACAAGTGTCCATTCTAAACTCGCATTTCCAAAAGAGATTCAAGGAACAACTAGAAATTCGGCCATTAGTTATGACTTTATGACGTCGGAAATGGTGACATACCAATATGGCGGCGAATACCAAAAGCGAGGCCGATAAGCAGTCCTCTGTAGGTGTGCATCAACTGGTTTGTGATTTTTGTAGAAACAGACCCAATAACTTCGGCCCTTCGGGCTCGTATAACTTCGGGCACGTATAACTTTAGCCCTTCGGGCTCGTATAACACCGGCCCTTCGGGCTCGCAAATAAAATAACTCCGATCCTTCAGGCTCCAAATTTAAAAAAAAACCCTAGCCTTCCAGGCTAGAAATTTAAAAAAAAAAAAAGCATATGACAATACTGCTTATGACACAACAAACGTCAAAAAATTGACGTTTTAAAGTAGGCCAAGGATAATACGCACTACCACTATAGGATAACCTATCCTCATAAGGACTGTGTAGAACAAATCCTCTTCTCCCCACTCGCCAAATCACCAGTTGTGACGTAGGCTGCATGTGAACTCGAAAGACTGGAGTTATTTTAAACACGAGCCTGGAAGGCCGGAGTTATATGAGTCCGAAGAGCCGGAATTATTTTAATTATGAGCCGGAGGAGCGGAAGTTATTCGAGCCCGAAGGGCCGGAGTTATATATGGGCCCGAAGTGCCAAAGTTATATGGGCCCGAAGGGCCAAAGTTATATGGGCCCGAAGGGCCAAAGTTGTATGGGCCGGAAGGAGCAGAGTTATTTTATTCACGAGCCTGTAGTGCCGGAACTTAGTCTATAATTTTTCTAATTAAATGGTACCAACTTTCCAAAGATAATACACACCTACAGGATTGATTATCGATCTCGTTTTTGATAATCATTATCATATTGGTGACGTCATAACTAAGTCATCAGCTGTTTAAATAGCCTACGTCAAGGCGAGAAGTAACATGCTGCCCTCGTCACAACTGATGATTTGCCGGAAGGAGATTTGTTCCACACAGGCCTTATGAAGATAGGCTATCCTGTAGTAGTGGTTAATGCGTTAAATCGCCCTATTGCCAACGATTAGCGACCAAGTAAATTATAACGAAAAAAGAACTATTAATAAATCAAGGATTACAAGCGCATTATTGTCACATGTAGTGACATCACTATAGGTGCGCGACTCTCTTTTGAGTGATTCTAGTGCGACACACTAGCTGTTTATAAATGCTATAGGCACACCGAGTGTGCGTACTCTATTCCGTTCAGAAAGTACTTCGAGCGCGCTCCAGTTGAAACCAAACATGTCTTACCAAACGGCCGCCATTTTTGCAAATATAGTTAAAAAAATGGCCGTTTGTCAAATGTCACTGTCAAGGTTTTTGAAATAAGATTCCAAGGCCAATTTGATTGGAACCCGAGTGAAGTTGCCTACGAAACAATGTTGCCACCCTTAAAAAAAAACGTATTATCGTTTAATCGAATGAACGATGTCACAACTCAGAAATTACAACAGAAAAAATTCGTTACGTCACTCGCATAAATGCTTAAAATCTGTGTTTAATTTGTTAGGTTAGATATTTAGTACATTTTTAGGTAATTTAGTACAAATTATCGCCAGATTCCAGTACAAAATTGGTTTGTCTCGCGGCAACACTGGCGACAACATTATCGCAGGACAACAAATCGCTAGTGCGCGCTTACTCTTAGGATGCCGTCATCGAACAAGGACAAACAATGTTGTCAATGCCTATTTTTTTTCTTCTAATTTTCTAAAATGTCATGTGTCAATAATTCTGACGACAGCTAAAAATAACGATACGGAAATGTTTATACAAGTCATGCAACGTCGCGTGCCGTTGCCAACCAAAAACATCTGAAACTCCCCTATACCTTAAATGCGTTAGAAAGTACTCTTAGTTTTGTTAGGTTGGCAGCAGAAATTCACTAAATGTACCGTCATCCTAAATATAGCGTAAAAATCCTACATTTCCTAACTTTTACAAGCCGCCATGTCGGCAGGGTGAATAGTAGCAATTTGAAATTTCGAGAATAATATAGGTAAGTAATCTTAATACAACTTTCTTTCAAATGACGTATCGATCTCCCTTTCTATTTGAAATTTTGGGGGTACCTGTCACTTGCTTAAAGGTTGAGAGCTAGAGGGAAGTGAAAATACTAATAAAATGGTCGGGTGATTTTTGATTAATCACCTAACACCTGAGAAAACCTGGGGTGGAAAGTTTTTCGTGCCCCGCCCTGTATCTATATACAAGGTGTCTCAGGACGTTTTATACAGGTGATAACTTCGGAACGCGTCATCCAATAATTTAAATTTTGAGAATCAGGGCTGGAACTCTTAACGGAGAGATCGTTATCCCTATCGCTATGGCACTTGCTGTCTTCTTCTGTTTTGTCAAAATCAATAGAGAGGAGACGTCAATAGAGATAGGGAAAATATCTCTATTCGTTACAGAGTCCCAGTCCGGGCTGGTTACCTTTTGTGTCGCTTCTACATGCTTCATCCAATTTTACCACTTTCGCTTCAGTTTCGATCAGGTTTCGGCATCTTTAGAATCTTAAATGTAGCTGATGGCATTACATTATTTTTCGTTAGAAAATTAAATTACAAAATCGGCAATGCCATTTTTGCCAAGGTTTTGTTAAGAGGGGCGTCAGATAAGAGCCAGTGCGTCATCTTTTGGGCTTTTTGACATACATTAAATATTTTTTAATTACAGGTGTTCAAATTCTCTGTAAGTGATTGACTAATTTACAAATAGATGGCGACATCTTCAATATCAATTCGTTTACAGTAATTCACAGTGGACTAAATAATTTTATTCAGATACCAATGAAATAATAGTATTTCACATTTTTAGCTAGGTGAAACAGTTTTTACTGGCGTTTAAAAGAAGTGACTATCCTTCTCGAACTCAGCGACATCTTTTAGAGAAGCGCTGAACACACGTTTGGTTTGAGTCTTTGCTGAAAATGACAGCAATCACCGCGTTGTTTGGCAGATTTTGATTAATTTTGTGATACAAAAATAGACCTATCTATTTTTACCTGCCTTGCGTTCGGTATTTTGCTCGAAGAGCAGAGCGTGCAGAGCGGAGCCGTAATCACGTGACCAGCGAGCGAACAGAGCAGTTGAACGCTGTATAAAAGTGCCAGAAATTTTAATAAACGAACGCGAATGAGGATACACCGAGTACACTTTTTGAATAAACGAACGGTAAAGTCAAGCTCGGAGAACTCAGACCAAAATAACGAACGCACGGCTGGTATGCGCGCGCAACACGAGGCAATGCATTTTTATTGGCTACCTAGTACAGGTGAGAGGTGTTCGTTTTGCACGCTGGGCATCTCCTTGTCCTTGTCAATTGCCCGTGGTCTGACAAGGATCAGAATTATGGTTGATAAATAACTTGACGTAGCTTGACAAGTGATCGATTTTCAATTGCGTGTGTTTTTCATTGACAAATACGTTGCATGTCACGCGGTTTTCCTCCTTCCCTTTTTATCCCGTGCAAATAATAAGAAGGGATTGCTATACATAAGTCTAACATGGTTTGGTACGTTTTGCCTCGTCTTGCGCAATAAGCGTTCTGCGTCTTTTTCTATCTAATGAAGTTTTCGTATTATCACCTCTTTGTCTGGTAAAATAGATAGGTCTATTACAATTTTGGAAAATTCAGTTCTATTCATTTTTCCAGCATTTTACTCTCCGAAATTTTGGACATTTTTACTATTTAGAATGCGCATTTTGCAACCAAAAATGTTTCGACTTCTACTCCAATCTATTATTGTTATGAACATAACTTCATTTCACTGAAAAGTGGTCTAAATTTGGAGTTGAACATGAATTTGTGAAGCTCTGTAAATGACATTTTATTTAAACGCCCCTCTTAAAGAAAATGATAATAAATTACAAAATGCAACATTTGATGACGCGTTCCGAGGTTATCACCTGGGTGAAACGTCGTAGGACACCCTGTAAAAACGCTCGACCATTTTATTGGTATTTTCACCCCCTACCTGAGACCTGTCAGCCCCTAAGCGAGGGTGAAAGTACCTCCAAAATGTGATTTGATAGACATTTTTATGGAGATTATATCCTTGAAATTCTGAGCTGCTACTATTTACCCTGACAAAATCGCGGTTGTCAAAGTTAGGAAATAGTACATTGTAGGTACTACTCGAACCCCGTTTCCATTTGAAATTTTGCGGGTCCCTGTCACCCCCGCTTAGCGGTTGACAGGTATAGGATGAAAATACTAATAAAATTTGTCCCCCAAACAACAAAAATTGACGTGTCCGAGCAATTTTTGATTAATCATCTGAAATCTGAGACTAGACCTGAAGAAACTTAGGTGGAAAGTTTTTCGTGCCCCATCCTGTATAACAAACAGATTATCTGGCATGTTTTCATTCACAATCATCAATAAACATTCAGTAAAACCTTCAGCAGTAAACTTTATATCTAATTTCCGTTGTCTTGCGGGGTGTCCACTAGCAGTCATTTTAGAAAATCGCCACCACGGACTCCGGGGGGAAGTTGGCCGATGGCTTCTTATCCAAATTAGTTCATATTACATCGGTCTACCTCTGTGCCAAATCTAGTGCCTTTACCAGTGCACAATATGTTGAAATATCCTAGCTAAGCTGCCGCACTATAAGGACTTGTTTCCGATGTTGAAATTAATTCTTACCAGTAAAATGTCCAATACACTGACAAATCTTTTGCGATTTTTTGTTGGTACATTTGCCTCCATTTTGACACGGGTTCGGTTTGCACGATTCCACGTCCTTGTGACCGTAATTTATCAATTTTTTCTTGTAGTTTTCGTCCGCCATTACCCTAAGAGTCCCATTAAGAGGGTTTCCCAAGACTCCGCTTTTTTGTCTGAGCTGTATCGAATTGAGAAAAGATCGAATGTGGATCGCAGGGCTAGGAAACAGCGCGTCGGCTTCTGAAATTGTAAAACGTAATATTGCATTAAAGGTATAGGAAATATGTTTTTACCTATCTGATCTTCGTTTGTTTGATAGCACAATTTCCATAAAGTCCCATTCGCGTCCGAGTACCGATCGAAAATTTCAATCAGTCCATTGCCGTCGATACAATCTCCGTGATTCAAACGGACCGAGTGTAGTTCCATGGATATTACGTATCCGGGTGGTGCTATGAAGCGTTGCAGAAAATCCTGCAAGGGCGGACTTTGTCGAGGGTAGTTTAGGTGCAGTAAGGTTCCCACAGAATCGTTTTTTAATAGAATTATTTTTTCTTCCATCGAATTTTCGTCAGTTGTTCTGTACGAGGCACGAAAACCTTTGCCTTTAGGATATTTGCCCGTTTGTAGTTTGATTTTGAGAAGTTCTTCCATTGATATGAAGTTGCCTAAATAATTCTTAAATCAATATTTAAACTCACAATCCATCAAAATAAAAACACAAAGAACGAGATTATCTTCGAATGATTTCTAGAGAGCTTCTTTATCGTGAAAGATTTGAGGGCTCTTCAAGGCTCCGATAAATCTCGCTCTCGATGTTTCCATAGGATTTTAGAATTCTTATACCTTCGGTTAAGAGATCGTCGATCAAAAACGGACGAAAACTTTTCGTTTTTTTGCCAAGTTGCATTTCGAACAAAACATTTTCGCCTTTTATCAAATCGATTTCGGTAAACTCGATCCAAATCCTTTTGCCAGGCGGCGCCTGAATGATAAAAGAACAATCTAGATGGGCCAACAAAAAATCTGGATAATTCGGACTTGTTATTGTGCCTTGTTTAGCTGTTAGGGTTTGTACTGGACACGCTGACACGTCCACCGCTTCCCACGTAAGAGAGAATCTGGAATTTAATAGACACGGTTCATATAAACTTAGTTATTCATTACACGAGTTTACATCGAAAACACATTAGGTAAAGGGTCATTAAAGTTGGATAAGGGTCACTTTTGCTGTATCACAAAAAAAGTTTTATTGCCTTGTCTTCAAAAGAACTTTTTAATTGAGTTTGTCTTATCCTTATCTAGAAAAAGTTTACATCCTCTTGGTTGACAAGTTAGAATATCAGTATTTTCTCTATTACAGGCTCTTGAATTGTCTTTATTTGGAAAAAATTGGAAAAAATAGAAATTCAACCCAGATAACACAAAGAAATCTTAAAGACGTCCATAAGATGTCTACAAACCTAACGATATTCAAGTCTTCTTTTAGACGTTTGCTTACATCTTCAAGGCGTCTTAAAGACATCTTATGTTCTAAAGGTATTCTAAAATGATTTAAAAAAGTTCTAAAAGGTATCCAGTTCTAAATTGAATCAGGGCATGTACACTATCTGACTGTTTGACACTATTGACAGTCGCCTTTAAGTAAAACAAAGATATATTTACGGTGGTTTTTTAGGTTTTTAGTTAGATTTTTTAAATTAAATACCTTTTGTGTGGTCCAGTAGTTTCTTGGACATGCCTAGAGTTTGTTTAGTTGTTAATTATGGCAGTATAGCGCAAGGGATACAATATCTTTCCATCAATTTTAAATAACAATGGGAGGTTTGATTTGTTAGCTCAAGAAAAAAGTGAAATATTGATTAATGTTGTTAAAAGAGAAGATCTGATAGAAACATAGATTGAATTATAGAGTAACTATACTTATATATTTGTTCTTGTGACACTTGGTTTTCATTTTTGTTGGAAAAACCCTGAATTTAATCCATTATAGAAAAACCTAGCAAACTTCTGGATAAAAGACCACTTAGACTGGAACATAAACACTTTACTTTAACTTTTTTAAAACAAAATAACACAAAAATTTGCAAAAAAGCTGTGAAAACCGCATAAAACCTAACCGGCCTAATCTACACCAATGTAAAAAAATGATTTGTTTTACCTTAGGGCGATTGTCAAACTCATTTGTGCCGTCACATGGACATGCCTTATTGTTCTGAAATAACTCTAAAGTTTCTACATTGAAAGTTTGTAACGTCACACTTGCGAAGCCATAGCCACTACCGTTGCCGTAGCTATAGCCACTACCATGTCTGACAAGTGTCATCAATCAGTCAGTCTGTCAGTTAGTTTTCCCGATCAAGTTGTCAAGTTCATTATCAATTATCAGTAATTATTGCTATTATTTTGCCGATTCTGTATTTTTACCAGTAAAATTGTTAAATAAAAACATTAAAAAACATGTGTAGTGCATAGTGTTGGAGTTCCCTTCGATCCCCGATACATATTTGGCGCCCAACGTGGGGTCTGGGCGCCTATTCTTGAAATAGGGGAGCAGCGTTCCCAGGAGAACGAGTGTTCCTTCCTTGTTACTTATAGTTATTATCATTTGCATATCATTGAGAAAGACGGAACACTCGTTCTCCTGGGAACACTGCTCCCCAGTTTCAAGAATAAGGACCCTGGGGTTTTGTAGTGAACCATCACCCCAATGACTTTCTAGAATAATTTTGTGACTGTAGATCAATGAACTATATATAGAACGCGAAACATTATTCAGTATGTAAATCATATGTAAATGTGCATTAATTGACTGAATTGTGTAAGTTTTGCCACATTCGGATATTCGGATATTGTACCCACAATTTCTGGAATATTCCACACAAACCATTACAGTTTCCTGTGTGTTCAAGTTTGTCCTCCATTTTTGTGCTGACATTACAGTTTCCTGTGTGTCCAAGCTTGTCTTCCATTTTGTACCCACATTACAGTTTCCTGTGTATCCGTCCAAGTTTGTTCAAAGGGTTTCTACATTACAGTCGCCTGTTTGTCAGGATTTACCCGAGTTTGTTGTTTCTCAACAATACATTTCTATTACGTAGCTTACTCCAAGCTGGATTTTCCGGTATATGCCTTATAATCTTCGATCGTCCCAAAAAAATCAAGACAAAATAGGTGACCCTGTTGTTCTGACGAATGAACAATTACAAACTTAGGGAATTATTGAAATACGGCCGCAGTTGACTGTGCCATTTTAGTGCCGACCCAAAATTGACTGTGGCGGGCGTTAGTTTGGCTCACAAAAGGAATTATTGAACGACACGTTGAAGTCGGCAGTTTATATAGTATTTGTCTCTGGCAGTGGTGAACTTTGGCAATGCCATGCGCATGTCATGTTTTATTTTCGTATTCCCAACCTAAAATTGCAAAGTGTAAATACCAATGTATATACAAAAATAAATTGTTTCTGTGTGTTTGGTGTTCCTCTAGTGGTTCTTCTTGTAGTTTTCTGTTGAATTGTTTTGTTATTTCATCTATATTTTAAAATGGAGCCTATTGGGGGCCGTATTATTAGGGGACGGGGATGGGGATGATGACATACAATCAACAGAACAGGCAAATCGGCAAAAACCTATAAAAACACAACACCAAACACCGCTAATGGTGAGTTTATAAAAAACATTTTATATCCTACTGAACTATTAAAACCATATAATACCTTGGTTACGATAATCATAAACAGGGTCTTAACTCCCAAGGGAGTTAAGGATTTTCATAACTCCCAAGGAAGTTAAGGAAGGGAGTTAAGGATATCATAACTCCCAAGGGAGTTAAGGATTTCCATAACTCCCGCTTTTACGTTGAATAGGTAACACTTTGACAAAAAATAGAAATTTTGAATTATGGCTTATTCCTTTATAAAAATAGACAGAATACAGAAAGTTCAGTAGGATATAAAATTATCTATGTACCACGGGAATTATCAGGAGTTAATACCCACGGGCAATTGGTGTCCCTCGGGCTGGAGGCCCTCGGGACACAAACGTTGCCCTGGGGTATTAACACCTGCATAATTCCCTTGATACATAAATAACTATAACATTTAGCATTTAACATTTAACATTTAACATTTTACATTTAACATTTAGCATTTAAAAATTTAGACCCCGTTTATAAAAGAATAAAAAATAAATAAAAATAATAATACATAATAAACTAGCCCTGGCCCCAGCCATCAGGAACAACATAGATCCCATAATAAAAGCTGAATTATAAAGCTGGATTCAGAGCTTCCGTAACGTAAGACCTAAAACTTAAGCGTAAGACGTAAGAGAAATAAACACCATGTAAATCAATGCGACAATTCATAGTGCCACCGTAAGACTTAAGCCGTAAAGCACATTTTACAATAGACGTAATGTAACCGTAAAGATGTAATATAAGTCCTAAGAATGCGCACATTTGATTTATTTGCGTCAAATATGTCACTGGAAACAAAACGTAAGAGAGATGAGAGTTGATCATCTCTTACGTTGCGTTTCCGGTAACATATTTGACGCAAATAACTCTGATATGCGCATGCTTAGGACTTATGTTACGGCTTTACGGTTACGTTACTTCCATTGTAAAATGGGCTTGCGTTACGCCTTAAGTTTCCGTTAAGGATCGCGAGGTTCCGTAAGCGGCCGATCGTGAAACTGACATTTGGCTACATGTTTTTGATTGTTTTTGTCTTTTGTTTTTGATTGTTTTGGTTTTTGTTTTGTATCTGGTGGTTAATAGTTATTTATGTATGTATCAAGGGAATTATGAAGGTGTTAATACCCCAGGGTGTCTATTCTTGAAACCGAGAAATAGCGTTCTCACGAGAACGATGGTTCTGTCTTAGTCGCCCATATTTATATTTCCATAACACTGACAAAGACAGAGCAATCGTTCTCGTGAGAACGCTTTTCCCCGATTTCAAGAATAGACACACTGGGCTACGTTTGTGTCCCGAGGGCCTCTGGCCCGAAGGACACCATTTGCCTGTGGGTATTGACACCTGATAATTCCCGTGATTCCCGTGGTACATAGATAATTTTATATCCTATTGAATTTACTGTATTCTATCTATTTTCATAAAGGAATAAACCATAAACCAAAATTTCTATTTTTTCTCAAGTTTCACCTATTCAACGTAAAAGCGGGAGTTATGGAAATCCTTAACTCCCTTCGGAGTTATGATATCCTTAACTACCGCGCGGGAGTTAAAATCCTGTTTATGATTATCATAACCAAGGTATTATATGGTTATAATAGTTAAGTAGGATATGAACTTCTTTTCAGTTCATAAATAAAAATATAATATTATTATACATGTATACTAGAAAAAAACAGGTTCATTTTGGTAGATGCACCGCAAAATCGGCGGATGCGGCAGCACTGAATTACTAGATAAATATGGAATCCTAACCTATAAGAATATAATATAATTTCTTACTTCTTAAGTTTTAAGTTAGCTCTGAATTGACTGCCATTTTTTTCTTAAGCTTCATGGCTAAAGTCTTACAGCTTAAGTCTCAAATCTTACGTTACGGAAGCTCTGAGCGGACCTTTAAACTTGGGTACATCCATAATTTAAAAATTTTCAAAAACCAACAGAAATACACCTTGTTTATCGCACAAAATCAATAAACAAATAAAAATAAATATTGGGTGAAGTTTGACGTAAAAAAGATGATCCTGTTTCACATGCGCACTTTCGTTTTCATTCAACATTTAATTTAAGAAAGATAAAAGTTGGGCAACTCTTAGATGATAAATGCTAAATGTAGGGAATTATTGAAGAGTATAAAATGCCAGGCACTAATAGCGCTAGGCGATATTTTGACGTTTTTGACACGTGCGCGTTGTGGCAGTACTGTTTATTTTTAGTGCCGCCACTAATAAAGTTTGTGCCTGTCACTATTTGTGGAAAATAAAAACAGGCCATAAACAGGCACAGTCTCGTCCCTCTCTTCTTTTTTTTTAAGTTGACGTCCGTCAAGGCCGAGGTCAAGGCTTATTCAAATGTTAATTTCACTTTTTTATTAATTTACATTTATAGATTTGTTCAGTTTTAGTTCAGGATCAGTTCTTAATTGAACTGCGCTTGCACGTTGGGTTTACATACATATGTTCGATATGAACCAATGCGCAAGTGCAGTTCAATTTAGAAATGATTCTGAACGGAGTCCGACCAAACCTATTTTTTCAATTTCCATTTCCAGTGACATGTTAGTGGCTTCTTAGCGGTGTTTGGTGTTGTGTTTTTATAGGTTTTTTGCCGATTTGCCTGTTCTGTTGATTGTATGTCATCATCCCCATCCCCGTCCCCTAATAATACGGCCCCCAATAGACTCGATTTTAAAATATAGATGAAATAACAAAACAATTCAACAGAAAACTACAAGAAGAACCACTAGAGGAACACCAAACACACAGAAACAATTTTTGTATATACATTGGTATTTACACTTTGCAATTTTAGGTTGGGAATATGAAAATAAAACATGACATGCGCATGGCATTGCCAAAGTTCACCACTGCCGACTTCAACGTGTCGTTCAATAATTCCTTTTGTGAGCTAAACTATAGCGCCCGCCACAGTCAATTTTGGGTCGGCACTAAAATGGCACAGTCTGCGGCCGTATTTCAATAATTTCCTCTCGCTGGTATGAGAGATATGTTTCAGAATACGCCACAATCTACTTCGAACCAAAGTACAGCTGCCAATTTTTCTAAATGCGGCTCAAGATTTTCTGGAAAGCCAGACGAAGATGCTGAAGCTTTTATTGATGCCATCACTATTTACAAAGACTGTCTGAACATCAGTGACGATAACGCTGTAAAAGATTGTACTGGATAGCGCTGCTGCGTATGGTAGCAAGGCACCAAAAAGTCAAACATCTTATGGACTGAAGTTTTAGATGCGCGATGCGCTACGTCATGCTTTTGGCTTAAACAAACCAGCACATGAAATTTTTAGAGAGATGTTTTCTCGAGAACAAGGCAGTTCGGAACCAAAGGATCTTTTCGTGAATCATTCCCGTGCACTGCTTTTAAAGTTGACAACAATCACACCCTTGTCAAAGGAGCACAAGTTAAAAATGGTTTATGGACTCCTTCACCATAGAATCAGAGAAAAACTTCCTCGACATAGTTTCCAGAACTTTTCCGAGATGATCGACAAATGCAGAGCAATCCAATCCAGCCTTACTGAATCCAACGTAAAAGTGACTTCCACTTCCGTTACAGAAAAGCCCAAGAACCGGTGTGCATTTTGCAAAGCATATGGACATGTTCAAGCTGTTTGCATAAAATTTAAAGCCAAATCTGCTGAGAAAGCCTCGTCCACTACTTCTGCCCTAACAGTCCGATCCAGTAACCCGTCCTCCACAAATGCAACATGTTATGGTTGCGGTAATCCAGGATATATTCGTTCCAATTGTCCTCAATGTAAACCTGCTCCAACAACCATTTCCTCTGTCGAAATGCTCGCTGGTGATCTCGGTGAACCTTCCAGTTTGTTATCAACGTTTGATGGTCCGCCATGATACCTGTTATCATTCAAAGTAAATCAGGTTTTGCTTTTGTGGATTCCGGAGTAAGATGCAGTATTGCAGGTTCAAAGTTGTTAAGCCACTCAGATAAAACTGGTATTTGCTGATGGTATACCCCGAGAAGTTGAAGCAAAGATGTACCAGTGTTCCATCAAAGTTATGAATAAACAACGAAAACTGCAAATGATTGCTGTTCCAGACTACAAAGATAGTAAGACTTTACTTGGTGTTGATTTCATATCACAATTCGATATAGTGCTCAATATACCTAAGAAGATATACTATTTCAATAATGATCCAAGCAATTCCTTGCCATTACAGGATGAAGTTATTGATTCCAACGCAGTTTTGTCTGTTGTTGACGGGAATGATTTGTCGTTGCCGATTCTTTCCAATATTGAAGAAGGGACATTGAAATCGGGAAGAGCTAACTACATAACCACCTTAAACCTGAAGAGTGGTTATCATCAAGTACCTGTCAGAGAAGAACATCGTGATAAAACCGCCTTTGTCACGCCATTTGGACTTTATCGATATAAGACGATGCCTTTTGGTCTATCCACAGCTCCAGCAACGTTTCAAAAGCTAATAAACCGTTTTTGTTCAGGTTTGCCGCATATCCAAATGTTAGGATACCTTGATGACTTAATAATTTTATCCACGACTTTTAAACAACACATCAAAGACTTGAGTGATGTTTTCAACCGTCTACGCATTTACAAGTTGAAGGTGAACAAGAAGAAATTCACTTTCTGTACTTCAGAAGTTAAAAATGTTGCTCATCTTATTGGACGAGATGGTATCAAAGCCGATCCGGAAAAGGTTGCCGCTATCACCCATCTTGACGCACCCAAGAACGTGAAACAAGTTCTCAGTTTTCTTCAGACTTGTTCATGGTTCCGTGGATTCATTCCAAACTTTGCCAATGTCTCCAGACCGCTAAGTAATTTGACAAGGAAAAATGTTTTGTGGTCGTGGGATTTGGCACAACAAGAATCGTTCGAGAAGCTTAAAGTTCTTCTGACTACAGCACCTATTCTGCGTCAAGCCGATCCTTCTAAGTCATACATTATTAAGACTGATGCCAGTGCCTATGTTATTGGTGCATGTTTGCTCCAAGGGGAGGGATCCGACGAAATACCGGTAGAGTACGCAAGTTGTTTACTTACTGCGGCCGAGAAGAACTAAAGCTGTACTGATCGGGAACCCTTTGCACTTGTCTACGCAGTCAACAAGTTTCGCGGATACATAGAAGGTTTACTAGCTTATGTCAAAACTGATCATCAACCTCTCCGATGGTTTATGACATTAAAATCACCAACTGGTAGATTGGTCAAGTGGGCACTTCAACTGCAAGCTTTCGTCCTCAAAATTGACTACATATCAGAACGTAGGAATGTCGTCGCAAATACATTATCAAAACTCTGATAATAATGACCAGTCACTTATAGCTGTCGACACAGTTACTATTTTGCTACCTAATAAGTCGGCTGCAGAGACCAGCAGTTAGATGATCTATACACTAGGAGCATTATCGACTGTTTCGAGAATGCTGATTCTGATACTGTCGATTTTGCCAGATGGACCAATCAAGGCTACCTTATGGTTCCGGGGAGCTTACACCGTTACGCCGGTGACTCCGATTCTGACGAAGCCCAATTAGTTGTTCATCAGGATCGAGTAGGGTCTATACTCCATGAGTTCCATGATTCTCCACTTGCAAGACACTGCGGCGTCGACAAAACTTTGAAACGAATCTCACAAAGGTTTCACTGGCCGACGATGAGAAAAGACATTACTGAACACATCCGAAAATGCATAGAATGTCAGAGATACAAACCAACGAATCTTAAGCCTTCTGGTTTGACTCAGACTCCTGTTCTGGCTCTGCGATTCGAAACCTTAGCTATGAATTTATTTGGACCACTGCCTGAAGCAGAAACAGGTGAAAGGTGGGTTTTCGCTATAGAAGATACTGCCACCAAATGGATAGAGTTATTCGTACTGGAAAATGCTACAGCTGAAGCTTGTGCGAAATGCCTCATCGATGAAGTTATTCTCAGATATAGAGCTCCCAGAAAGGTCGTCAGTGACAATGGCACGCAGTTTGTTACAGGTGTCATGCAACAAGTTACTCACTGCCTCGGTTTTACCCAAAATCTTATACCGTTGTATCACCCAGCTTCCAATTCTGAAGAGAGAAGGAATAGAGATCTGAAGACCCAGTTAGCAATACTTGTGGAAAGGGATCATACGAAATGGAAAAAAGCCTTGCCTTCTGTGAGATTTGCGATGAACTCTGCCAAGAACCTATCTACTGGTTACAGCCCTGCCTATTTATGTTTTGCCTGTGAACTGAGAACCCCGCATGATGTCGAACGTGATTCCTGAGATCACCCCAAAATTAAAGATTGTTGCTAATGTCCTGTCCAACGTTAGAGAGACAAATGAACTGAGAAAGGATGCGTCCAAGATGTGTGCTGACAAACATCGACGTAATGAACCATTCACTATAGGAGAAAAGGTTTTGGTCAACTCGCATGTGTTGAGCAAAGGATCGCAGTCTTACACACCCAAGTTCGCCCCTAGAAGAGATGGACCCTATATAATCCTGAAGATAGTATCGCCAACCTCTTATCAGATTGCCTCCACCCAACAGTACCGGTGGGTACATACCATTCATCAGCTCTCAGCAAGTACATAGTTCACGAAGATCTAATTCCAGTTAGGCCTATTCGACATAGAGGTCGTCCACCTGGTAGAAGGACTTCAAGGGTTTGACGACCCAAAAATTTTTTGACGATGTCCAATTTTTTTGGAACTTTGGCGAGACCCAACGGAAGTGAGGTTATGTATGTGACGTCAGTTAGTGCCTAATCTGGTGTTTTTTAGAATGTTTTTAGAGATTCTATAGTGTTTGTGTGTTTTGGACCGTCCTAAAATGGGTTTCAAACTTCTGAATTATTCTAAAATGCTTTTGGAAAATTGTAAATCAATTTTTAAATATTTTGGGGCATTCTAAAATGGTTCTAAAATCTCAAAATGTCCTGGAAGCGATACAGAATAGTTTTGGAAATTCTGAGAATTAAGAAGAAATTGGTCTCTATTACAGGCTCTTGAATTCAATAGCCGGGCATAGACAAAAATCGAATTCTTGAAATTTTATATTGACAATTATTCTTACCCACTGGCAGTGACTGAATAATCCGAATGGAACCTGACTTCCGCTTCGTTGGTCCGCGAAACGAAATCAAACCGTTCCATTTGAGTCCCGTGGCTTCCGCATAATCTGACACCTTCCTCTTCCTCTTCGATCAGTTTCTTGTTGCCCTTTGGCACGGATTTCAGTTCGACGTAATCGTACAAACATTCCGGCTGTAATTCGATGTCGATCCTGGAAAATCTGTACACAAATCGTTATCCAGTTTGCAGAAAGTTTAAATATAACTTGCCTTATTTTTAATCTTGTCCGCTCAGGTCCAATGATTTTAACTAAAAAATCCAAATTGTTGTAGTAGTTTTCTGGATAATGCGGCGTAGTTAAACTGCCTTCGGAACTATTAATAGTTTTATTGATGTTGTTTCCAGAGTCATAAAGATGACGTTTCCTTTTGCAAACATACCCACCCACTTGAGTGCATCTAAAAACAATTCTCTTTCACTTACAATAGTAATTTATATAATTCAGTTAAAACCTGTGAGCTTTCCAATAAATTCCACTAGGTAGCAAAGGTAAAGGGGAAGGTGTCCACTGAACACCTATGCACCTAGGCTCGTGTTCTAAGTCATTTTCGGAAGGCCCTTCTGGCAACCACCCTCGAAACTCCATAGAACTACCATCGATCCATTTAAAGTCGGACAAAGGATCTGCTTTTCCTCCTAACCTATCGCAAACAGATAATATAAAACTCAAATTTACTATACACAAACCTACTAACCAATAAAGGGCGCTCGTTCTATATTCGGAATTCTTTCTTATGATGGTGGTGATAAATCGTCCCTCTTCGGGGGTGACAATCGAGGCGAGCAAGGCCTTCATGCCTCGACAAATTTGCTGCGCTGTAGGCCACGTCACTTCTGGATAATTGACGACCAGGTAACAAGCGTCGTTGAACATGTGCTGTCGTTCGTCACCACATTGCATTGCTAGAAAACGAATTTCTTTAGAAAAAATTGCCCCGCCAGCCAGAGAACTCGAAAGTAAAATGAATAAGAAGTTTATCGAAAAGTTTTCCAAAGTAGGTAACCACATTGGAAGTTTAGATAATATTGACGGTTGTACTAATTGCGAAGTTGCTTCAAGTTATAGTTAGAGTTGGATAGGATTTCATTACTTTAAGGTTTTTGAATTAATTGTACAAGAAAGTAATTTACCATGAATTTATCCTGTACATTTAATCAAAAATTTCAAACAATGTCGTAAACAAATTGTATAGGTTTTAATGTGTCTTTTTCTCATGTTTTTGTGTAATCTGCAGTTATGTCATAGTGTTCATAACTTCAAGAGCCTCTTGACTTTTCTATACAAAATCTTATGCAACGAGTTTACAAAGATTTTCTTATGTCTTCAATTATGATGACTACTCGTAGAATCTTGTATTTGAATACTCCAGAGTAATTCCTATAAAGATTCATGAGTGATGGAGTCTTCATCTTCAAAGTATTCTTGTTCATTAACTCTTTAGATTTCAAAGTGTCTTGACTCTCCTGAGTTATCCCTCTGTTATTTCTCATGTAATGAGCATTTGACTCATTGGTTTGTTATGTTTTCAGCTTGGGATGTTTTCTTATCTCGATCCCTCAGAGTCTTCCTTATGACATTGTCATAAGTCTTTGCAATTTTATGAATGAGTAAGCATTAATCTCTTTGGTACCTAATTCTTGTGCAATGAGTTCTCAAATCATTTTCATACTTTGTCTTTAGTTCTGTCATGATCATAGGCGCAACTAGGGGGGTGCTAAGCACCCCTAAAGCAAAAATTAGCACTCCCATTCGGCATCCCACCATAGCACTACCTACAGTGGCACTACCTAAAACTAATATAAAAAATCAGTGCAACCAAATTATTTATTTTTTTGTTACTTTTTGTACTTACTTACGTCATCGATGACGTCATAATTTAGAAATCTTACATTTTACTATCACTTCTCCACGATTCTAAATTCACTTTGCCGCGATTGTAAACCCACTTTTCCGCAAATATTACCTCATTTTTCCACGATTCTTATCTCACTTTTTCACGAATTCACACTCACTTTTTTTGACTCATATTTTTTGCGATTTTTGACCCACTTTTTTGCAATTTTGTCTTCACTTTTTTGCGATTTTTGGCTCTTTTTACGATTTTTGACTCTCTTTTTTGCAAATTTGTCCTTACTTTTTTTGCGATTTTAGCCTCACTTTTTGCGATTTCACCCTCACTTTTTTGCGATTTTACCCTCACTCCTCGGCGATTACAAACCTATTTTTCCGCTATTTCATCCTCATTTTTCCGCGATTCTTACCTCATTTTCCCGCGATTGTTTCCCTACTTTCCGCGATTTTATTTTCACTTTTCCGCGAATTTGCCTCACTTTTTTTGTGATTTTAGAATAATTTTTTTTCGATTTTTGACTCATTTTTTTGCGATTTTACCATCACTTACCGCGATTCTAAATCCACTTTTTCGCGATTGTAAACTCATTTTTCTGTAAATATGCGATTCTTGTCTCACTTTTTTTTGCGATGTTATCCTCATTTTTCCGCGATTCCTATTTCATTCTCCGCGATTTTATCCTCACTTTTCGTGACTTTATCCTCATCTTACTTTTCCGCGAGTTTAAACTCACTTTTTTTGAAATTTTTGACTCATATTTTTTTGCGATTTTTGACTCTTTTTTTGCGATTTTATCATCACTTTCCGCGATTTTATCCTCATTTCAAAATTACGAGAATAACGATAATTTTTGAAAAGTTACGAAAAATTACGGAAATTACGTTAAAGTACGTAAAATATGAAAAAATTTGAGAATTGCAAACTTTTACGTGAATCACGGAATAACAAAAAATTGCGGAATTACAAAAATTATGGGAATTGCCAAATATTACACAAAAGAATTACGAAGTTACTCCAAAATTACGTCAATTATTTAAATATTACAAATTTTCGAAAAGTTACGATAACTGACAAGACAAATTACGGGAATTATGAAAAATAATGGGAATTAAAAAATTTACGGAACCCAGTAAAATGACAGAAATGACGAAAATTTACGGGAATTATGAGAAATTATAAAAATTACGGGAACTGAGAAAAATACGAAAAACTACGAAAATTACAAAAAGTACGGGTATTACGAAATATTACGGGAAAAAATTACAAAGTTATTTCAAAATTACGTGAATTACGGTAATTCCCAAAATAACGGAAATCACAAGTTTTTGAAATTACGAAAATTACAATAACTTAGGGAGAATTAGAAAATTCCGAATTTTTTTGGAAATTAGGAAAATTGAAAATTAAAAAATTGAAAATACAAATAATTACTGGAATTACGAAAACATCACGATGGGAAAAGCGCGAAAAATTTCGTGAATAACGAAAATTAACAAGTTTTCCAAAAATTGAAAAAAATAAGGGGGAATTAGAAAATAATAAAAATTAACTGAGAAATGACAGGAATTAAAAAATTTCGAAAATCCCCCCAAAAAAAAAAACGGAAATTACCAACTTTCGAAAATTTCAAAAACTTAGGGGGAATTATAAAACTAACGGAAATTTTTCGAGGAATTACGGAAATTAAAAAATTACGAAAATAATGGGAATTACGAAAATTTCGAGTTTTTCGAAAATTGTAAAAACTAAGGGGGTATTATGAAAATAACGAGAATTATCTGAGAAATGACAGGAATTACAAAATTTCGAAAATTCCCAAAATAAAATACGAAAATTATATGTTTTCGGAGTTAACAAAATAACGAAGTTTTCTGAGAAATTACAGGAATTAAAAAATTACGGAAATCTGAAAACTACAGGAATTATTCAAAAATTATGAAAAATACGAAAAAATCACGGGAATTAAAAAAATTGTGACAATTTTCAAAAAATTACGAAAATAACAAGAATTACAAAAAGTTACGGGATTCACGAATTTTCCGAAAATTACAAAAACTAAGGGGGAATTATGAAATTAACGAGAATTTTTTGAGAAATGACGGGAATTTGAGAATTTTCGAAAATTCCAAGAAAAAAAAAATACGGGAATTACCAATTTTTGAGAATCACAACAAACCGGGGGCGAATTATAAAAATAACGGAGTTTTTTGAGAAATTATGGGAATCACAAAATTACGAAAATTTGAGGAACTACAGGAAATATAAAAATTGAAAGAAATAAGAAAAAATCACGGGAACTGCGAAAAAATTACGATAATTTTTGGAAAGTTACGGGATTTGTGAAAAAGTTACGGGAATTACGAAAATTACGAGTTTTCCAAGAATTGCAATGACTAAGGAAGAATTATAGAAATAGGGAGAATTATCTGAGAAATTACGGAAATAATTCACAAAAAAAAAATTAAAATTACGGGAATTACGAATTTTTGAAAGTAACAAAAACTTAGGGGGAATTATAAAATAAGTAATTGAATATTTTGAGAAATTACAGAATTTAAAAAATTACGAAAATCTGAGAAACAACAGGAATTATTCAAAAATTACGGAAATTACAGAAAAATTACGATGAATTTTGGAAAGTTACGAAAAATTAAAGAACTTACGAAAAAGTTATGGGAATTACGAAAATTACGAGTTTTGCGAAAATTGCAAAAACTAAGGGAAAATTATAAAAAAAACGAAATTTATTTGAGAAATAACGGCTTTCAACAATTTTTTTTTGCAATTTCACCTTCACTTTTCCGCAATTTCAAAGTCCAAACTCACTTTCTCGCAATTTCAACAAATTTTTCCGCGAATTTTGCCTCACTTCTCCGTTATTCTTGCTGAATTTTTCAATAAGTATAACCTCACTTTTCCGCGATTTTCGCCTCACATTTCCGCAATTTCAACCTTATTTTTCCAAAATCTTTACTTTCAATTTATTTCTGGAAAACTAATAAAGCAAATTTTATGAAATTTTTCCAGGAGAAAGAAGAAAATGAGGAGCTCATTATATAAAAATTTCAAAATTTTCCAGTTTTCCAGAAAAAAGAGGAAAGTGATGATCTCATTAAAGCAAAATTTCAAAATTTTCCAGTGAAAAATCACTTCAGGAAAAATTCTGGAAAATTGACTTATTTAAGCAAAATTAAGGAAAATTCATCCTCTTACATTTTAATTTTTTTCTGGAAATCTAGCAGAGGGAAAATTTTGAAAATTTTCCAGTGAAAAATCACTCTAGGAGAAATTTTATTTATATATTTTCGGATAACTGAATAAATTCTCTTCTAAGTTAAAAAATGTATTACAAAACAATAAATCCGAAGGTGCTCCATGAATTAATCTATGAAATAACCTTTTCTCTAAGTTATGACGTCATCGATGACGTAAGTATAAACCTGCGTGCCGTGCAACGAACTATATGTTTGTTCGAAATTTCAGACATAAAAAAAATCTATTTTTTAAAAAAAAAAAGGCAAATGATGACGTAAGTACAAACCCTCGTGAAACTAACCTTTTATGCGTCTCATTTTCTTTTTATCAAACTCAAAAAAAAAAAAACAAAAAATGGTGCTGCAGCACCCCTCAAATTTGGAGCCTAGTTGCGCTTATGGTCATGATTTCTGATGGATTTTGACTTTTCTAAGTCATCCTTGTCTACCTAGTGTCTTCAAAATCCTATTTATGGACTCCTCTGTGATTTTTATGTAATCAACAATGATGGAAGTCTGCTAACTCTTAAGAGTTCTTGTATTATTATGAATTTTTCCATTTTCTAAGTTATGGTACGATTCTCGTGCAAACTTCGTTAAAATATTCACTCAAATTACCATCCATCAGCTTCTCTCGTTAATTAATACGATTATTCTCTTACCGTTTTCCATCGAGACGCGAGCCTTGAAACCGCCGAAATGATGGCTGTAATCGGAGCTGAAACGCAAAGTGAGCTTCGAGCCTTGACTGACGTAGCGTAACAGCTTCAGCTTCGTGCTCCAGTCGCCGCAAAGACGTCTGGAGTTGTTCGAAACCGATGAACCGTTGCCAACGTGTTCGATTATTTCTAAGAAATCGTAGCTGCAACTAATTAGGAAAAAATTATTAGAAGCTAAAATATTTCATAATTATATTGAACAACTTGCCTGGGTTCGTTTTCGATTACCAATTCGTCAAAGTCCAGCACTATTCTATATCCAGATGGAGCGATAATGTTAGTATCGCAATCGGCATTGTCTGGATAATGCCGGGGAAATCCAGGACTCGAAATCGTAGTTCTGGGAGTTTGTCTTGCCAGTTTCAGGGTGCGATTGCATTCAGGATTTTCGTCAATAGTTTCTATGGAAAAATTTTCAATACTCAAGAAGTTTCTCTATTTAACATTTTATACTTACCGTCGTTTTGTAGCTTTTCACAAATAAAATAATTATTTGTGGCGCAATCCCGATCGTTCCACATAAATCCCGGTGCCAAGCTGACCGAAGCCGATGGCAGGGTGTAAGTTCTGCGAACTTCGACGCAATCCTGTTCGCTGAGGCCGTCGTCGTTGGGCTGTTTATTGTAATGTTGATGTTGAGGCCATCCAGGAAACCAATCTGGAATATAATCAATTTTTTGATTATTACCAGCTTTCATCATCATAATAATCCAAGTTGAAACTCTGGCAAATAGTGGAACATCTTTTAGGCTCTCCGGGGAAATAATCAAGAAAAGTAAGCCTTAAAGTTGGATTTGAATTTGATATTTATGTGCCTCCATGGGGGCAGAAGGACAAAAACTATTTCAAGATTTTGTACATTTTTGCGTTTCTACTTAACGTTGGGCTTAAGAGCAGATTGCCAGGCTAAAATTAAATGGGCCACTTTTTTTTTATTGGAGAAAGAGACTTTTTAAAGCTAGAAAATCCAAAAAGATTTAATGGAATCAATATAAGATTGTCACAGCTAATTATCCAAAATTCCAGATTTAAAATTATCGCCGCTTGAGGGTTTAGGGGCTGAAATTATAATTAGCCCTTACAAATGGAATAAATATAATTTACTCGCTTTTAAAATTTCACAATCAATTTTTCCCTATAATGAACTGGGGTTTACCGGATAAAATGGAAATAGTGCTTTTGTTTTAGTATTCTATTTATGTAAATGGATTGGTAAACTGTAAACTCTGACTTTGTTTGTACAAATTTCACAGGACCCCACTGGAAACACCCTTTGGATTTAGGTAGGTATGATCTTTTGCTGCCTTTTTGCTGTGGAAGAAGATTGAAAAGAGGCATTCAGATTTCGAACTTGAGACTGTAAGAGGACTGTATATTTCGAGGTATATTTCTAATACAATATTAACATTTTTAGATATACATAACTTTTCTATAGAAACCTAAGATAACGTGTTTCAATTAGTGTGAGTTCCCAGGAGTTAGATCACAGTCCTTGTGGTCATTTGGAGAAACATTACACTATAACAACTTACTTATGATCATATTGACATTTAAAAACCTACCTACTTGTTGTTGGATATTCTTCTTACAGTTCATTTTAACCATTTCACGACACCATAGGCGCCGAAATTTCAAAATTACTATAGGGGCATGGGCTCCAAAAATTAACATAAATAGAAATAATTAGACAGACAGGGCTAAGCTACTAGACACATATACTTAAATGGGATCAGTTGACAGATACTCATTTCACTGCAGGATCGCCACGCTGGATCATTGATCGTTGTCCCCGCAGGTTCCTTCATATTATTGAAATTCGTAGCTACATCTTCGGAAGCTCGGCTATACTCGACTTCGACAGCACCATTGGCGTAGTCAGGATTTGGGGGGAGGAAGAACAAATTTGCAGGAAGTGATCCTTACAGCAGTAGCAACTTCGCCGCAAGCGCTGTAGGAAGAAAAGCGTCGCAGCTGCGAAATTTTTGGGTCCTTTCACGGTATTTTTGGGACTTTTAATGATGAGGGCAAGCGACAATGCGGCTACTTCAACAATTTTTGATGAAAATTATAGTAGGACGTTAATAATATGGACTGAAATCAACACACTCCCTTGCTATGATGCCTCGCTTTCATTCAAAACAAATTAAAAATAACTCAACTTATGGCACGAAACAAACTTATAAATAAGCTAATGGCATGGCCAAAAAATGAACTACCTATAAACAAGTTTGACAGCTCAACATAGGCCAATTTTAATGCAATAGAATGAAATTTCTAGAAAAACTCTAGGGTTGAATAGAGAACGAAAGATAACGATTTCCCCTGTTCCACCTCCAGCATTCCCAGCGCTCTTTGGCCACCTTGTTGTTGTCTTCCTCCGCTTCGCGACAGAAGGCAAACCACATCTCGCTCTTATTATTGATAGGATGTTCCATCTTTCGGTGTTAAAGTTGTTCAATATATTGGGATATAAAATATCATTTATAACTCTTTGGAATATAGCCGGCGCGTTCTTCAAACCAAAAGGCATGCGCAAGAACTCATAATGCCGGTTTTTTGTGCTGAATCCGGATTTTTCGATGTCGTTTTCTTGCATCTGGTTCTGATGGAAACATGAAAACCCTTAACTAAATCTAAGGTGGTGAAATACGGGCAGCGTTCCAACTTCAAAACACACAAGTTTGATATAAAAATAAATAGTTAGGAATGTTAGGATCAGGAACTCAATATTTTTGTACCTAATCACTACACCCACTACATACAATGCCAAAATCACTATGGGGGCTCCGCCCCCATAGCAAATTCACTACGGGGGCTCAAGCCCCTATTGCTCCCATGGTTTCAGCCCCTATTGCCCCCATGGTTTCGGCGCCTATGCACGACACGAATGAAATTTCAGAATTGTACCTATAAATCAGGCAAACTTCATAAAATGCCTAGAACAGAGCATGAAAATCAAGTACCCTCCTCAGAGGCTAACAAAATCAAGAATAAGCCAATGACAAGTCAGGGTGGAACGGCTGCAATCATTGTGGACTGAGTTTGTATCATTTGAAGTAGACCTTGAAATATTTGATAGCAATGATCATTCACAATACAGGATTGACTTCGAGGACGAATACTTCAAGTCCTCAGGTTTAGCTAAAACCATTATTGATGAACATTTCAGAGATATTCAAATTTAAACTCAGCAAACATCAAAGATTTCACAAATCATTCCACAATGTTCTCACAACATAGCATCACAAAGTCATTCAAACTTACCCAAGATTAAGTTATCAGAATTTTATGGCTCATATGAGCTTTGGCTACAATTATCTGATAGGTACTTATAAATTTCTTATTCATAATAGCACATCACTGGGCAATATTGAGAAATTCTGATACCTTAAAACATGCTTATCAGGCGATGCTGCACTTCTTCTTTCTCTAGAAGTAGTCGAATCAAATTACCTACAGCGTAGCTTGGAATATTTTATACCAAAGGTATGAGAACAACCGTGTCATCATTCAATCCCATATGAAATAATTTTTCAAATTCAGCCAATCACAAAAGCACTTCATCTCAATCTTACTCAGAGGAATCATTGACAATGCAAATCTGGATTTAAGGGCTCTTAAATCACTGGGCTTACCTGTAGATCAGTCGGATTGTTTTGTAATATTTCATATTACATCTAAACTCGACCCCGCCACTAGACGTGAATGGAAAGATGTTTCTTTAAAACTCAAAAAAGACATTCCTTCTAGTTCTTTTTTAGGTGAAAAGGTTCTGTCAGAAAGTGACAAAACAAAAACCCTTGGAATTACATGGCATTCCAAAGATGATATTTTTCAATATACCTACTATTTCTCTTAATAATATTACTCCTGTAACTTAAAGATCTATTTCAGCTATCACTGCACAAATATTTGATCCCATGGATCTTGTTGGTCGGTGCATCATGAAAGCAAAAATCATTATACAGTTGTTATGGCAGTTAGATCTTCATTGGAATGAAAATGTACCTATGGATCTATGCCAAACATGGAGTCATTTTTATGAGCAGATTTGCCTATTGAATCAAAAAAGAATTCCAAGATTTATACTATATGTTCTGATTACAATTCAGCAGAATTTCATACGGTTCTAGTGATGCGTCACAAATATGAAGCTTCTTGTTATTTCAAATCTAATAATGGCTCTGGAAATGTTGAAGTTCACCTTATTTGTGCTAAATCTATAGAACTCAACCATTGTCACGTTTAGAATTATGTGGAACCTTGCTTCTTACCAGGTTATTCCTAAAGATATTGAGTACTATAAAGCATATTCATATCAAAAATTCATATTTCTGGACCGATTCCAGCATAGTCTTATCATAGTTTGCTTTAGAACAGCGATTCTCAACCGGTCGGTCGCCATAGGCGCCGGAACCATGCAGGCAATAGGGGCTTGAGCCCTCATAGTGATTTTGGCATTGTATGTAGTTGGTGTAGTGAGTAGGTACAAAAATATTGAGTTCCTGATCCTAACATTCCTAACTATTTATTTTTTATATCAAACTTGTGTGTTTTATGTTTTTGTTATTTTTGCTATACCCACTTTGACAAATAGTTTGAATATTTTTTTGTTTAGTATGTATAGTAAGTTTAAGGAACCTTAATACAAAAAGCTTAGATGACAGATACCCATTACCCAACATAACGGATCTTTTGAACAAGATGGGACGCTACCAGTATTTCACCACCTTAAATTCAGTTAGTGGCTTCCACCAGATCCAGATGCATGAAAACGACATCGAAAAACTGCATTTAACACAGAAAACGGGCATTATGAATTCTTGTGCATGCCTTTTGGTTTGAAGAACGCGCCGGCCACATTCCAAAGAGTTATGGATGTTATTTTATATTCCAATATATTGAGCAACTTTTACACCGAAAGATGGAACATCCCATTAATAATAGTTATTCATTATAAGTACAAGGGAAAAAAGTATTAGATTTTAGAGCGAGATGTGGTTTGCCTTCTGTCGCGAAGCGGAGGACATTTCATTCTATTGCATTAAAATTGGCCTATGTTGAGCTGTCAAACTTGTTTTGTGCCATAAGTTGAGTTTTTTTCAATTTGTTTTGAATGAAAGCAAGGCATCATAGCAAAGGAGTGTGTTGATTTCAGTACCTACATATTATTACCGTTTTACTATGAATTTTCATCAAAAATTGTTGAAATAGCCGCATTGCCGCTTGTCCTCATCATTAGAAGTCCCAAAAATATTGTGAAAAGACCCAAAAATTTCGCAGTTGCGGCGCTTTTCTTCCTACAGCGCTTGCGGCAAAGTTGCTACTGCTGTAGTAAGGATCACTTCCTGTAAACTCGTCCCTCCCCCCCAAGACCAAATCCTGACTACGCCAATGGTGCTGTCGAAGCCGAGTATAACCGAGCTGCCGAAGATGTACAAATTTCAATAATATGAAGGAACCTGCGGGGACGATCAATGATCCAGCGTGGCGATCCTGCAGTGAAATGAGTATCTGTCAAAAGTCTATGTGTCTAGTAGCTTAGTCCTGTCTGTCTAATTATTTCTACTTATGTTAATTTTTGGAGCTCAAGCCCCCATAGTAATTTTGAAATTCCGGCGCCTATGTGGGTCGCGACCCCTAAGGGGGTCGCATAAGGTTTTTGGAGGGGTCGCAATGCCAATATAAATATACCTATATA